GTAATTCCCCTCCCCCCTACCCCCACCCGGGTGATAGCTTTAATTTGTACTCACGTAAATGTAACGATGTTTATCTATAGTCGGTTATTAATACAGCTGAATGCACCTTTGTTTTCTCTATAGCTAGCACATTTACGTCATGGGCCACCCTCCCCCATGTCGAGATTGTCAATGTGTACTTAGAAGACTAACTTTAATTAATCATTAATTTAACATGCAAAAATAATTTTTATCTGTAAATGTTGAAATTTTTTGCCTTGGTGTCACCCCCATAAATGGTGCCTCTTGATGGGGTCCGCACCACCCGCCCTTCCTTGCGACGCCTCTGCTACAGATGACCCATTTACCAATGATGTGTGAAAATGTAATATTATTATTTTAAAAAAAGCTATTAAAAAATATTAATTTCGTTTGGCACACTATGTTATTTTGATATATTGCAATTTGTAAAGTGACCCGGAACTTTGTAGTCATCGGTCCACAGGCTTGAATGCAAAAAATGCACTATGAAACTTTAAGTTGAGAAGTCTTTACTTACTTTTGACTTAGTTCTCTTTGCCTCCATATCCTTTCATTTCGTCTGGTCCTCTGCTATAAACTGCTATTACTGCTATTCCTTGCGGATTTGGCAGCCTTGCGTCATACTTCTCCTAAGTGGAGCTCTGGTTCTACCGAGGACTGGTCAGATTTGGTTTCGGTTTCCGTAACTATACTTTGCCTTATGTGGGCGAGTAGTTAACCCATCGCACAACCCCCAACCTGGAGGACCAGGGCACAACGTTTGGTCTGGCACCTACCCACAGGACCAGGGCACAAGTCTGGCCCCTACCCACAGGACCAGGACACAACGTTTGGTCTGGCCCCTACCCACAGGACCAGGGCACAAGTCTGGCCCCTACCCACAGGACCAGGACACAACGTTTGGTCTGGCCCCTACCCACAGGACCAGGACACAAGTCTGGCCCCTACCCACAGGACCAGGGCACAAGTCTGGCCCCTACCCACAGGACCAGGGCACAAGTCTGGCCCCTACCCGCAGGACCAGGGCACAAGTCTGGCCCCTACCCACAGGACCAGGGCACAAGTCTGGCCCCTACCCACAGGACCAGGACACAAGTCTGGCCCCTACCCACAGGACCAGGGCACAAGTCTGGCCCCTACCCACAGGACCAGGACACAAGTCTGGCCCCTACCCACAGGACCAGGACACAAGTCTGGCCCCTACCCACAGGACCAGGACACAAGTCTGGCCCCTACCCACAGGACCAGGGCACACGTCTGGCCCCTACCCACAGGACCAGGGCACAAGTCTGGCCCCTACCCACAGGACCAGGACACAAGTCTGGCCCCTACCCACAGGACCAGGACACAAGTCTGGCCCCTACCCACAGGACCAGGACACAAGTCTGGCCCCTACCCACAGGACCAGGGCACAAGTCTGGCCCCTACCCACAGGACCAGGGCACAAGTCTGGCCCCTACCCGCAGGGCCAGGGCACAAGTCTGGCCCCTACCCACAGGACCAGGACACAAGTCTGGCCCCTACCCACAGGACCAGGGCACAAGTCTGGCCCCTACCCACAGGACCAGGACACAAGTCTGGCCCCTACCCACAGGACCAGGACACAAGTCTGGCCCCTACCCACAGGACCAGGACACAAGTCTGGCCCCTACCCACAGGACCAGGGCACAAGTCTGGCCCCTACCCACAGGACCAGGGCACAAGTCTGGCCCCTACCCACAGGACCAGGACACAAGTCTGGCCCCTACCCACAGGACCAGGACACAAGTCTGGCCCCTACCCACAGGACCAGGACACAAGTCTGGCCCCTACCCACAGGACCAGGACACAAGTCTGGCCCCTACCCACAGGACCAGGGCACAAGTCTGGCCCCTACCCACAGGACCAGGACACAACGTTTGGTCTGGCCCCTACCCACAGGACCAGGACACAAGTCTGGCCCCTACCCACAGGACCAGGGCACAAGTCTGGCCCCTACCCACAGGACCAGGGCACAAGTCTGGCCCCTACCCACAGGACCAGGACACAACGTTTGGTCTGGCCCCTACCCACAGGACCAGGGCACAAGTCTGGCCCCTACCCACAGGACTAGGGCACAAGTCTGGCCCCTACCCACAGGACTAGGGCACAAGTCTGGCCCCTACCCACAGGACCAGGACACAAGTCTGGCCCCTACCCACAGGACCAGGGCACAAGTCTGGCCCCTACCCACAGGACCAGGGCACAAGTCTGGCCCCTACCCACAGGACCAGGACACAAGTCTGGCCCCTACCCACAGGACCAGGACACAAGTCTGGCCCCTACCCACAGGACCAGGGCACAAGTCTGGCCCCTACCCACAGGACCAGGACACAACGTTTGGTCTGGCCCCTACCCACAGGACCAGGGCACAAGTCTGGCCCCTACCCACAGGACCAGGACACAAGTCTGGCCCCTACCCACAGGACTAGGGCACAAGTCTGGCCCCTACCCACAGGACCAGGACACAAGTCTGGCCCCTACCCACAGGACCAGGGCACAAGTCTGGCCCCTACCCACAGGACCAGGGCACAAGTCTGGCCCCTACCCACAGGACCAGGACGCAAGTCTGGCCCCTACCCACAGGACCAGGGCGCAAGTCTGGCCCCTACCCACAGGACCAGGGCACAAGTCTGGCCCCTACCCACAGGACCAGGGCACAAGTCTGGCCCCTACCCACAGGACCAGGACACAACGTTTGGTCTGGCCCCTACCCACAGGACCAGGGCACAAGTCTGGCCCCTACCCACAGGACCAGGGCACAAGTCTGGCCCCTACCCACAGGACCAGGGCACAAGTCTGGCCCCTACCCACAGGACCAGGGCACAACGTTTGGTCTGGCCCCTACCCACAGGACCAGGGCACAAGTCTGGCCCCTACCCACAGGACCAGGGCACAAGTCTGGCCCCTACCCACAGGACCAGGACACAAGTCTGGCCCCTACCCACAGGACCAGGGCACAAGTCTGGCCCCTACCCACAGGACCAGGGCACAAGTCTGGCCCCTACCCACAGGACCAGGACACAACGTTTGGTCTGGCCCCTACCCACAGGACCAGGGCACAAGTCTGGCCCCTACCCACAGGACCAGGGCACAAGTCTGGCCCCTACCCACAGGACCAGGACACAAGTCTGGCCCCTACCCACAGGACCAGGGCACAAGTCTGGCCCCTACCCACAGGACCAGGGCACAAGTCTGGCCCCTACCCACAGGACCAGAGCACAAGTCTGGCCCCTACCCACAGGACCAGGGCACAAGTCTGGCCCCTACCCGCAGGGCCAGGGCACAAGTCTGGCCCCTACCCACAGGACCAGGGCACAAGTCTGGCCCCTACCCACAGGACCAGGGCGCAAGTCTGGCCCCTACCCACAGGACCAGGGCACAAGTCTGGCCCCTACCCGCAGGGCCAGGGCACAACGTTTGGTCTGGCCCCTACCCGCGCAGATCTGTCCGACTTGGTTAGACCTGCCAGGAGCACTAGGCTCCCGCCGGCATAGCTCTGGGGGTCGCTGGGGTACACAAGCCATCCCACCACTTCAAGGCGGTGTGCCATCAGGATGGGAGTTTGGAAGGGGCCGCTTTTATTTATTTCCCTAGTCGCTTGGACACTGGCAGTCCCTTCCGTGTGTAATACTAATAGTACCCTTTTCGGACCTGATGATCCAGTGGTCGGCTGAAGTAAAGTTCCTTTTGCTTCAGTTTGTGATGGGACTGTATCATCGGCGAACTGTCTGGCCCGGTTCGAACCTTTACCCCTCAGGGCTTTAGGCCAGGTAGCCGAACTTGGGTCTTTAAGAAATCGTGTAATCTATCATTTGACCTCGCCGTTACCAATAACATGATGACAGCGCTGGAAAGCTGGGCAGAGATTTGATGAAGAGCAGGAAATCGCCATCAGGAATGAAGCGAATTTCTGGAGCCAGGCGCTAACGCGGCTGGTAAATGTTATCCTGACGATGTGTCTGCCGTGTCTGACTTTATTGAAGATGTGAATATGTCAGAGATGGAGAAGCGCCCCCGAAATTTTTTTACCGCCCCCCCCCCCCCCCCCCGAACGAAATGAAATTTATATAATTTATATAGAAAATATATACTTTTAACAGTGTCCGCCCCCCCCCCGAAGAAAGTCTACCGCCCCCCCCCCCCCCGAAAATTTGAAGTGCCCCCCCCCCCGGAGAAAAAAGTCTGGAAGAAACACTGATCTCACTATAGGGGCGGCATGGTCAAATAGTAGAGCTTACGACTTACATGAAAGTCTCGAGTTTAAATGATGGATTTGTCTAGTGTAGGATATCCTTGAGTTAACCCATTCGAACGTTTTGGAAATCAAGGCAGCTAAGCATTGTGCTGTCTACACTATACCTACATATGCCGAGGTTATTAAAACAGATGAACTCTACTTCATCTGCCCCATGTGTCTTGGGCACAAACTTGAAAAGATGCTGATGAAATTTATAATATAGCTCTAAATCCTGGGAAAGGTGTGCATTGATACTCTATGATTTTATTTAGACCAAGTGTCAGCAGTAGCGTAGCGGGGGGGGGGGGGGGGGGGGGACATATGTCCCCGGGCGCCGATCTTAGGGGGCGCCAAAATGGGTTGGAAAAATAAATTGAAAGTTTGAGGGGGGGGGGGGTGCAAATCGAAATCTTCAGGGGGGGGGGGGTGCAAATCGAAAGTTTGAGGAGGGTGCAATTAGAAATCTTAAGGGGGGGGGGGGGGGGGGTTGCAAATCGAAAAGTTTGTCCCCGGGCGCCGGGAAGGGTCGCTACGCCTCTGCAGTGTCAGTTAAGTTAGCCTGTATGAAAATGTAATCAGTTTACAATAGCCTTGCCTACAATACAGAGTAGTAACCGCTACAACACCAGCATGTTGTTTTCACTTCATTTAATCGTCATGACTTTTAGATAGATTTTGTTGTACAAGATTTCATATTTAAAAAAAAAAAAATATTCCCCAGACCCTGTAGTCTTGAAATTTCCAGTGCTTGAAAAACCTATGCACTTTTATGAGGACAGCACCAAGATACCCCAATGGATGCAAGAATGTGCGACAAAAATTAAGGAGTCCGATGCCATAGTTCTGCTGTCGTCTGAGTACAACTCGGTCATTCCTCCAGCCCTCACCAACATGCTTTGTCACTTCAGCCCTAGTTTGTTTACATGCAAGCCTTGTGGGATTGTGACATATTCCTTGGGTAAGACAGTTTGTTGGATCAATTAAGGAAATATATCACAGTATTAATTACCAAAAGCTTAGTTAAAAAAAAAATTCCCTTATATGGTGTAGGGTAAATTTTCTTTTCACTTGTATTATTTTAGCTAGACTTTTTTTCCCTTGTATATCAATTAAAGTAAGTTATAGAGAAAAAAACAATATTGCAAGGGCTGGGGTAGTGAAAACCTAACTTTATGGCTCTGCAAGATTATGTGTCATGTCTAAATAACACCCTTTGGGTAAGATGTTGCGGTGAAATATAATTTTATTCATGATTTAAATTTGAAAGATATTGGCAAATTATGATATTTACTGTTAACTGAATTAGTTTCATTGTAAAAATGAAATGAGACAAATTATGTAATAGTTTATACCAGCTTGTAAAACCACATAATTTTGTTTCAATAAGCAACATTGTTTTATTTTTCTTTGTAAAAGTCATTTGAGAAAATATGTTGTCTAGACATCAAACTATTTTTCACTTTCCACTAGTTGACCTATTTGTTTAACAGACACCTTTCACTTTAACTAACTGTAAAAGCAATTCTATTAATACGATAATTCATTGTTAATCTACCAACTGTGGTAAAAATCTGAATAATCCCTATCCATTTCCTTTATGATATACTTTTTTTTTGGAATGAATTTATTATAGTATTAGTAGCTTGTTAACCAAGTCGGTTATACAGAAATATTAACTATTTTAAGTAGGTGCTTAAAGCAAACACTTCAGTTGACAATTTGGCTATCTTACTGCATTTACATAAAATCGTAATAATAATTTATGAATGTTACTATTTAAATGTTTCTTCAAACTACCTTTATAAATTATCAGCAACATATAAATGTTTATCTCCCCTTTTAAAAATTTTTTTTTCCTTTAAGGAGTTTTTGGTGGGATGAGAGTAACTATGCAGCTGCGAGCTCTCCTGGGTGATCTGGGATCTTTAAGCATTGGCAACACTTTCTGCATACCAGAGGTGAATAAAGCACTGGATGAAAATGGCATCCCTCTGAACGACAACGTGGTTAGGAGCGCAGAGAAAATGATTTCCCAGTTGGATTGGGTGACTCAGGCATTGAAAAGTCACAAGGGCAACTTTGGCTTACCTTATTAAATTGACCGACTCCTGTCAACATTACCTGAGTAAACTGATTTTTAAAAGTATTTACCTCAATAAATTTAATTGCTATTGTGTTTAAATAACTCAGCAAATGTCACATTAGTATTAAATTATTAAATTAATCTTAATATTTCTTTACATATCTAAATTAAGTTTTGTATGTATCATTTTGAACATACAATACTCAAAACTACTAAATGTTGGAGCTAATTGTAATAATGAATCTTATGTAATTAGTCTTTGATTACTACTATGTGTTACACTCTTGGAGGACCATTGTTTCATGTGAATTAGTTCATATTGCATTGAAAAACATAAAAATAAAGAGAATACATTATTTAAAAATATATTTGTATTTTTTTTAAGTAAGTTTTTTTTTGTTTGACATCACAGCATACACTATTTGAAATCACACAATGCAATCAAATTTCAGCTATATACATGAACATTATAAAAATTAGGTACAGTGAATGGGTTGTATAAAATACTGCTAATGACTTTAATGATACTGAGTGCATAACTGGTTTTAATCTTTGGAATAAACAAAAAATTGATTCACCATTGCAAGATATATATTCTACTTCAAAGAAGTTGTCAATTAAACAATTATGTTAATTATGACAAATTTTATCAGAACCCATTCATATTTTGTCTACATTTGCAATATAAGCTCATATAATTAAAGCAATATGTCTTTCATTAAAATCTTTATATATTTGTCACAATAAATTATGATTTTATTCTTTACTAAAGAACTTAAAATAAAACAAAAATAATAGAAAGTTTTTTAAAATAGTTCTAATTGGGTTTTTTGTGTACAAATCGGTTAATTACAAGCTTTTATTTAAATCACTTCCTCTGTCGTCAGTCTGTCTAGACCGAAACGCCGGAGTGAAAATTCGGAAACTTCTACTTGACCGATACAATTCACAGTTGGCACGTGGGTCAAGTCATGAAGACAATGCATAGTGACATTAAATTTGACTTAATTGGATGCCTAATTAATTTTTTTATGAATTAATTAAAATTTGGACAGAATTAGTAGGCATGTCTATCCAACCACACCACACGCGTCATCACGGTTCAATAGCTACGCCATCATGTTTAATGGCTGCGCCATCAAGTTCAGTAGGCGCGCAATGGTTTTTAGTCATGTAACTCTATTGTAAATAAAACATGTAAAGTATTGAAAAAAAAATTCATAAAAAACGTTTTAATAACAAGCTTTTATGTACTAATGCACTAAAAAGTTTAAAATAAATTATAGACTACTATTTAAATTACTATAAAGAAAAGCGTGGGTCTCTTCCTAAACATTAGTAACGGTATCCAATAGATACTAAAGTGACCAACGCTTTTCTTTATAGTAATTTAAATAGTAGTCTATAATTTATTTTAAACTTTTTAGTGCATTAGTACATAAAAGCTTGTTATTAAAACGTTTTGTATGAATTTTTTTTTACTTTATACAGACCCCAATCTTGAAAAGCTGCACACTTTTTTGAACAGAATAGGCAACAAAAATTAGTTTAGAATAGGGAGGTTGGAGAAGCAGTCAGGATATGGGTAGTTGCAAAAGATGATTTCATTATAATATAACCAACATGCAGGCACACGAAAGTAACAAAATAGATTACAGTATAAAAAATGATTTTTGTACAGGAATATTGCACTATTCCAATAATCGGTGGATTGATATATAAATTTATAAATTAAGAAAATTATGTTTTTAATTTTGCAAACAATAAAATGTATAATTAACTAAATGTAACAAGAATTACATTTTCCCATGTGTTTGATATTAGCTTCATGACCAACAAAATGGGAACCCAAAATGCCATATTTAACTCAGAACTAAATGTTTTTAAACACATCAAGGTGTTAACTAGTCATTTTGAAGACTATCACATTTTACAGTAGTTTCATTCCTTTTATCACACATTTTGATGTCTTTCAATTTTTAAGTTAAAAAAAAACAACCTAAAAATAAATGCTGATTCAAAATTGAACAATTATCAGATCAACTTTAGCACCTTGAATATCCAACATATTCAAATTTGCATAGTAGCACAATCATAGTAATAAATAGCACAGTTAAAAAAAAAATTAACATACTTATCATTGTGGCAAACCACCCTCATCATTCCAAACATCCCCTTTCTCTAACTCTTCTTTGTCAATCTCTTCCTCCTCGTCATTGTTAGAGCCTTTACTTTTGTTCTCAGCTTCCAACTTAGCTACTTCCTCGTCTGTCAGCTCTCGAATTTTCGGACCTTCTACTGAAGTGTCTTTCTTTTCTTTTTTATCCACTATAATTTCTTCCACCTCTTCTTCGTCAACTTCCTCCAAGTTTTTCATCTTTTCTTCTGCCTTTTTCTTTTCTTCTTCCTCCAATTTCCTCTTCCTCTCCTCTTCCTCCTCCTCTTCTTTTATTCTTTTCTCTTCTTCCTCCCGGGCTTGACGCAGCTGTTCCCTTAAAATTTCCAAGAAATTATCTGGTGCCTTCCCCTGCTGATTTTCTTTAATGAGCTCGTATTCAATAGCTTTTTCCAGGGCCTGAAAATAAGATTACAACTTATCTTTTATTATACTCTTCATTTTTTTTTTACATAAAGCAGAGTTCATACAAAAGTAATGGGATGGTGGCTGAGTAGCAGAGCGCTTGACAGCTAGCCCGAAGGTCTCGAGTTTGGATCTGGATTCGGACTTGTAACTGTAGGACATCCCTCAGTCCACCTTGCTCTAATGGGTATATGATTTAAATTTGGGAAAGGTGGTTGAGCATGATGCCAAGGTCAAGAAACACATGAACTTGACTTATCTGCCCAATGATTGCTAGGTCTAAAGAGTAATTTTACTTTTACTTACTTATATACAACTGTAAAAATAAGTGCTTACAGAGTACAGTGGTTTACAGAGTACAGTGGTTTCAGATACAACTTAAGTTCGAAAGTTAATAAAGGAACTGTGTGGCTAGTATAGAAAATGCCACGCCTTCTTTAATATAGTGAATTGCTAAGGGGCAAACAACTAGCTAATGTTCTCTAGTTGGACACTGTCACAAAGACAAGTCCTCCATGTCTTATATAACTACCAACTTGCTTTTACTAATACCTTGCAGACGAGGAGATATAAGCCTGATTACCAATATACAAACTTTAATTCCTATGGCATGCAATTCTATGTTCTACACCTTGACCCCACAGACCTGCTAATCCTTAACAAACAAAACAAATATTTACAAACTGGTGTAGAAAAATTAATTTTAAAATCAAGACAGTACTCACGGCCTGGGCAGCCTTGGTGGCCATTTCTTCCTTGGGATCAGTCTGCTTGGCCACGGCCATGAGGATTTCAAGCATCGGGCTGTCAACAACAAGACTGGCCAGTTCCTTGTCAGCAAACACAATATTCATGACGACATGACATGCACGGTGCTGTATCTCTGGTTGTTCGCTGACCGTATGGACTTGGAATATATCCAACCATGTTTTCACCTACATTACACAGATGACACAACTTGCATTATGGAATACCAAATTGACAAATAATACAAATGCAATATTTTAAGACAATATCTTAGAGAAGTAATTTAAAGTTTATACTTTTACACACCTTTACAATTTTCCTGCATAAAGAGGGTCTGGCTGATAAAATAGCCAAGGCCCCTGTTGCAGCTTTAACCAAGGCAGGGTCATCTTCACCAGAGAACAGAACCAGCACTTTAACTCTGTCGTTCTCCCCTTCAAATAACTCTTGAACCTGGAAGGCATTAGGTTACATTTTGTATTAAAATGAAATGAAATTTAAAACAATTTCGTACTGTACAGGGGCGTAGCGAGGGGGGGGGGGGGGGGGGCGGGGGGGGGGGTGCGGACCGCACCGGGTGACACCATTTAGGGGGGTGACACCAAGGCAAAAAATAGCAAAATATATATAGAAAAACTTGATGGGGGGGGGGGGGGGGGGTGCAAATCGAAAGTTTGAAGGGGGGAAGTGTAAATCAAAAACTTGAGGGGGGGTTGCAAATCGAAAACATGAAAGTTTGTCCCCGGGAAGGGTCGCAATGCCTCTGGGGGGGGGGGGGGGGTGACACCATTAAGTGCCGCACCGGGTGACACCCGACCTCGCTACGCCACTGGTACTGTATACATGATAATTTTGTTTAGAAAAAGGATAAAATTGAAATGTTTTTTTACAGTATATATCAAAAAGGGCAAAGATAATCTAGCTCCTCATAAGTGTTGTTTCAAGTGATTTTTTTCCCTTGTATTTATACCCTAACCCTCACAGAGATATGGCTAAAAAAAACCTTGTTTCTCCATTGCTAAGTTTGAAAACCTAGAATCAACATGAAAAAAAAGGGAACATATTTAATCTACCTTATAACATATAACATATACACCATGTGGCTGACCTCTATATATTTAACCTACCTCTTCACTCAAGATCATATTACACATACACCTTTGTTGACCTATGTATATTTAACCTACCTCTTCACTCAAGATCATATTACACATACACCTTTGTTGACCTATGTATATTTAACCTACCTCTTCACTCAAGATCATATTACACATACACCTTTGTTGACCTATGTATATTTAACCTACCTCTTCACTCAAGATCATATTACACATACACCTTTGTTGACCTATGTATATTTAACCTACCTCTTCACTCAAGATCATATTACACATACACCTTTGTTGACCTATGTATATTTAACCTACCTCTTCACTCAAGATCATATTACACATACACCTTTGTTGACCTATGTATATTTAACCTACCTCTTCACTCAAGATCATATTACACATACACCTTTGTTGACCTATGTATATTTAACCTACCTCTTCACTCAAGATCATATTACACATACACCTTTGTTGACCTATGTATATTTAACCTACCTCTTCACTCAAGATCATATTACACATACACTCTGTGGCAGCCCTTCTCAGCATCTTATGTTCCTCAAACATGTAGTGCTCTATTGATGGAATTCCTTTCTCTTTTACAATTCGGTTTCTGTGAATACATTCAAAGAGATGCAGGTTGAAAAAGAAGTTACTAAATGAAATTAACTTTGGGTATTAAAGCATGTTATACACAATATTTTAATCATTTGTACATGAATCTGGTACACAATAATATTGTAAACATAATGAAAACAATTGGCATGTTTTCCATAACAAGTTTTAATAATTTAGTTTTAATTTAGAAATCTATGTTTTATTAAAGCAAATTTAAAAAAAATTAAGTTAAATAACATATTACACTAGCCAAAGAGAGGAAGACCACTGGAGACATGGAGGAGAAAGATGGAAGAAGAAGTGCAGGCTACTGGCAAGACCTGGCATGAATTAAAGTGGCTCACCCAAGACAAAGTGGAATGGCGGATATTGTTGCTGCCCTATACTCCACAGAAGCTAGGCAGGATCCTATGGGTGTGCAAATAAGAAGGAGGAAGTGGCGCTGGGTGGGTCACACACTGCAAAAGGCTCACACAAATGTTACACGCCAAACGCTTGAGTGGAACCCCCAGGGAAAGTGGAAGAGAGGGCGCCCAAGACAGACCTTGAAGAACTGAAGCCAACAGGGATGTCTTGGGAGATGTCAAAATTAATAGCCGGGGATAGAAAGAGATGAAAGGAAATGGTGGAGGCCCTATGCTCCATAAGGAGCAAAGAGGACTAAGTCAAGTCAAGTCTATACTCCACAGGGAGTGATGAGGATTAAGTAAGTACATTTTACACTGCATATATATTAAAACATTTTTTGAAAGGATATATTAATAAAGTAGAAGTTAGGATGCTTTACCTGACTGAGTCACTGACTGAAGCCAAATTTGTTAGAGCCATCAGGGCCTCAAAGTTCTGTAACCCTGACCTGTCAGCATGTAAGAGGGACACCAGCGGTCTGACAACTTCGTAAACCTAAGGAGAAAATACATCTGGATATTGCCTTATAAACCTAAGGAGAAAATACATCTGGATATTGCCTTATAAACCTAAGGAGAAAATACATCTGGATATTGCCTTATAAACCTAAGGGGAAAATACACCTGGATGTTACATCGTAAACCTAAGGGGAAAATACACCTGGATGTTACATCGTAAACCTAAGGGGAAAATACACCTGGAAACCTAAGGGGAAAGTAAACCTGGATGTTACATCGTAAACCTAAGGGGAAAATACACCTGGATGTTACATCGTAAACCTAAGGGGAAAGTACACCTGGATGTTACATCATAAAACTAAGGGGAAAATACACCTGGATGTTACATCATAAACCTAAGGGGAAAATACACCTGGATGTTACATCATAAACCTAAGGGGAAAATACACCTGGATGTTACATCATAAACCTAAGGGGAAAGTACACCTGGATGTTACATCATAAACCTAAGGGGAAAATACACCTGGATGTTACATCATAAACCTAAGGGGAAAATACACCTGGATGTTACATCATAAACCTAAGGGGAAAATACACCTTGATATTATTTAATAAACCTATGGTAAAAATACATGCAGATTTTACTTCATAAACCTAAGGGGAAAATACCATGGGTCTGACAACCATAAAACCTTAAGATGAAATATATATGCATACCTGGATACATTATTAAATTTACCTAGTCTTCAATCACAGAGATAAATACAAAACAAAATAGTTAATCCAAGTATAATTTTTCTTTAGACTGTGCACGGCTATTGACTACTATATGGAAACTATTTGCTGTAAAATAATGCGTTATTAACAAGAGTGACAACACAAACATATTTTAAATTATCCTACTAAAACAAGTGATACATCTCTTACCCTCTGTCCTGGAAAAGCAAAATGAGGATCTGATGTCACAGATATTTTAGCCAGTGCATGAGATGCCAAAACCACTCCGTTGTCTGTGTTGTTGTTCATCAAGTTCAAGAGGGACTAGGAAAAAAATTACGATTTTCATTCAGTTGAAACAATGCAAAATTAATAATTTATAATTAATTACACACTTGAAAAACTTTGTTGACTAGGCATTAAATTGTGAACTTTAGAACCATCTACCTTGATTCCACCTTGCTGGATTATAAGACCACGAAGTTTTTCTTCAGTTGACAAGGACATAAATACTCTGAAATGTAGAAAATTGGAGTCTCAAAAAATAAACGTTTCATTAATGGAATTAGAAATGAATTATTTTTTTGTGCAGATAGTACAATAGTTTGTCTATAGAAGAATTGCAGGGAAGCAGAAAAACATTTATTTATCTGGCAATACAATAGTTTATTATAGAGATAAATGGCAGAGAAACTAATTCATTTATCAGGCAATACAATCTATATATATAATTCTCTTCTGGGATCAGTTAGAAAACAAGCTGCAAGCGCGCCTTTGCAGTCCCCTCTCTTCCTCTCTATCACTATCACCCCCACCCCACCCCCACATGATCTGGTGAGCGGTGTTCACTCTGTTTACATTTTACAATCACAGAGACGGGTTTGGTGACGGCTATTAGGGGCAGATAATTTAGTTTGAAACGATTTTAAACTTAGAGGAGGTAACTAAGAGGAGGCTGCTTTCACGTGGGAGGGGAGGGGGTAGTGTTTTTAAGCAAATATTTTCAATGGCAGCATTGGTACTGTCGAATTCACAAATTATAAATTACTGAAAAGTAGAAAAAAAACCAACTAAATAGCGGCGTATGATACGCAGCGGGTCGGCTCGTTCTTTATAATAAAGACAAATGGTATGGAAACAAATCAACTCACCTAGATATAAGCTCTCTACTGTTTTTGCTGTCTGTGTCTGATAGAGCAACAAGGGCATTAATAACTCCAGCTTTGGCAAGCTTGTGGATTCTCCCAGAGATAAATTCTGGTTTGTCCTAGGTAGTAGAGTATAATTTCTATTAAATGGAAGTACATTTCACTGTAAGCCATAACAGGGTTAAAACATTTTTTTTCCTTAAAGTAATGACAAGATCTCTGTGGATAAAAATTAATAAGAAATTAAATCACAGGATCTGATGTTTTAATCAAACAGCACAGTCAGATAAAGAAAAATGTATTTATTACATTTCAATTTTTACAGGGAAAAAATTCTGAATTTGTCCTTCTTAAAATCAATGTTCAGACTAAAACCTTAAGTCAGTTTTTTTATCACCAATGTTTTTATATATAGTTTGATACACTTTGCTAACAAAAATAAATTTTATAAAAGTTATCAAGAAAAATGTTTAAAAACCTTGGCATGCTCCTCTGGTATGTGCTGTTTAGCAAACTTAGCTAATTCAAGGAGCTCTGGCATGATGTCCTGCTTGTCGTAACTATTGGTACAGTTGACAAGTACAGTAACCGATGCATAGGTTGTATTGCGATCGGAAAGCTGCAAGAGGGAACACAATAGTAGTTAATACTGTATGCAGTAGTTGCACATAATCTACATAATAATTTTAGATGAACCCTTGCAAGTATCAACGGGTTATTTTATTTCTAATGGAAATCAAATACAATATTTCTAGAGAAAAAAAAAGTACACCAAAACATGTTTGTGCATTGAACCCTTTTTTTTTGGAAATATTTTTTGGATAAAGGGTGGGAGGGGGGTCTTTTTTTAACATGAGTGATTATTATAATTTGCTGTTTGTACTAAATAAATAAGAAACTATAGGCACAGCATAATCTACTGTTAGTAAAATAATAATACACATTTTCTAGAATATTAATTAGAGAGAGTGGAAAGTTGAAGGTTATAGAAAATAGGGATTCTCTATGTAGATAAGTTGGCTACAGAATTAGTAAACTGTCATTTTTAGGTGTGGCTGCAGGGGGCCACAAATGAACAAGGGAATTCATTTTTAGAAAGCAGATGAACTCTATCTTCCCCATGTGTCTTGGGCACGAACAAGAAATGATGATTTTTAGAAATTAAATAAATATTGGAAAAAAAAAAAAATCAACTAATGTTTTAACTAAAAACAAATGCACTTACTTTGGCCAGATCAAAAATAGATTTGATTGCTTCTGTGTCATCCACCAGTTCTTCTTTAATGTTAGCATCTAGGGTTAGGTATGCCAAGCCTTCAGTTGCCCACTTGCGGAGATCTGAATCTTTAGTTGCATTTACAAGAAATCTGAAAAGAATAAATAAATATTTTTAGTAAAATTAAGATGTAGCAATCTAATATAAATAAATTTTATTTGATCATTCATGTTTTGTAAAATAAATAATTCAGTTTTAATCATAAAACCTTGTTTGAGAAAAATATTAGACAATATATTAAAATTTTGTAAATGTGACTAAAGCTGATTTTCACTTTTTTTAAAATATATTCTCAAAACACAATGCTGATGTCGATGGTGAAAAGTGTTTAGGGATCAGACCAATCATCACTATTCAAAATGTGATATCAAAATTTACTTTTTTACACCTTTATACTACGAATATTAGTTTGGTTCTTTTAAAGACGGTTTTAGTTTTAAATACTAGTAAGTTAAGACTTATAAAAAATGTCCCCGCATATGAATCAATAATTAAAAGTAAATAAAATCCCAATTCTGTTACCTTTACCACCTCCTTTCATTTTCAGGTGTAGTTGCAAAAAAAGTACTAGGCTTAAAAAAATGTCATAATATTTTAATTAAGATAACTATAAATAACTATAAATATTTATAAATAAAATACTTAAAAAAAACTTTTTAAAAAACCACGTTTTTCTTGTGGACTAAAAAGTAGAAAATAACTATTTACATACATTTGATGACAAAAAACGTGGGTACGTTCACCATCAAATTTCTCGACCCATCTGCCCGACCCACGTTTTTTGTCATCAAATGTATGTAAATAGTTATTTTCTACTTTTTAGTCCACAAGAAAAACGTGGTTTTTTAAAAAGTTTTTTTTAAGTATTTTATTTTCTCCTTTTTAGTCCGTTGCTACACATGAAAAACGTGTTTTTTAAAAAAGTTTTTTATATAGTTTATTTTCTACTTTATCTAATGACTTGATTAAGTATGAATTGACTAAGTGTTTATAAATACACGGACTAAAAAAATCTTGAGCGACCAGGATTCGAACCTGGGTTGTCGCGGCCACAACGCGAAGTACTAACCACTATACGATCACGGCCAGCGCGCTCACATCGATTGGGGCCGAAGTAACTGTGTCAACAAGCCTCCAGTCTTGTCAGTATCTTTAGAAATCATGTCCTCAATTTTATGGTCCTTTGGGCGTAATTAAATTAAGCTAATTACGGTCTCTAATTGCTAGTTTTTATGATTGCATCTGAAATTGTTAGGCGAAAGTAACCTGCATGCCAAATTTCAGATCTATAGAGCAATCAGAAGTGGGCTAATTTTCGATGTCAATTTTAACAACAAACACATCCACGCGAAGCTGAGTTAATAAAAACGTGTTAAAAATGAAATCACATGAAAAAAAGATAAAAATATACTTGCTTTCTGCATATACGAGCTAACTTCTCAGTTGAACCTTCAGCCATAGGTTGAGCACTAGCATCAGTTCCCATAAAGCTCCCAAGCTTGCACAGGCCCTAAAGTCAAGGTACACAAATATTTTTATAATTATACCAGTCTATGACAAGGGACTCTCCCAAAATAAATTTTTAAAGATAGGCTAAAATTGATACTATCAAGTAATATATTTGTTTACATCTAGAAAACAAACGTTACTATTTAAAAAATATATTTTACAGTGTCATTATCAATATCATGCACAGGTATGAAAAATATCCAAAAATTTTAGCCCAAAATTAAATACACTTTTAATTAAGATTGCTTACATTCCACACATCATGTTACATCCATTCATTTAACTCTACACAATTCTAAGCTAAATCTATACTCACCACTAAAGCTCTGACTTTAATATGATCTTCCGAAGACTGGTACAATTTCTTCAATATTGGAACAGCATCTTTGAGGATACCACTGCATTTGTCTTTCTTTGACGCTGAGCTAACAATAGCTTCTACAGCTACCCTCTAGAAACACAAAAATAAAAATAATTTAAAAAAAAAAACGGAACAAAATCAAAATTACTCTATAGCTCCAGGAAAAATCTAGAAGTAAAAAAAAAACAACCAATCTTGACAAAATTTACCTGGTACTGTACGTTGTCTGTCTCCGCTAATGTAAACATAAGCTCAGTGACACCTTCCAGACCCAGCAACATTCCTCCCACATCATAAGTACCCTAACACGGTAATTCACAATTTCGGTTATTTGAAGAAAAGATAAGTTACTTTATAATTAAGTAATGATTACTTCAAATTTCTAATTAACTGCAATGTAAATTCTAAAATTGTTGGGGTAAGAAAGATAGATATTACACAGCTGATTGTAAACATTTTAACAATATGAGTTGTTAAAAGTTGATACCTATTTAAATACTTCCCAATTATCATAAACTATTTGAACATAGAAATAAATAGTTTATACACATACCTGCAGCAGTGTAGAGAGGGCAGCCACTGCCTCTATCTTAGACTCAAAAATGCCATCAGAAAAAAGATCCCTGAAACCAGAAATAAAACATGTTCAAAATGAAAAAGAAAGAATACAACGAGCAGAAGCGATACTTTAAAAAAAAAGGATATCAAAATCATTATTATTAATTTAAATCATTTGGTAAATAGATACATGTTTCTGCATACAGTAATAAATAGCATGCAAATTTTGAGTGTGAACATTTTAAGGCGTGCTGCTACAGAACAATTTTAATCCAACAAAAATGGGCCAAATCCAGCCTGCCCAGATTCAAACAGAAAAACCACAGCTGGCTGTGAGCATTATTCTACATGTTATACCAAATTTTGAGCATGTTATAGTCAAAGCAAACAATTTATGATGAAAAAGTCATTTAAAAAAATCTCACCTAAAGTACTCATGGCACTTCTCCTTAAATTTATCCCTGAGCTTGTCATTGATAAGATCATCGTATATTTTCGAAAGCGCAACGGAGGCATGCATTGATGAATGTGGAGTAATTTGCAGAGTTTTGAATTCCTTTTGCACACCAGCGACAGTCAAGAGATTTTCTACACCTGAAAAACAAACATTACTGAGATTAACTTTGTAAACACACAGTATGAATGAATAGTAGAGCAACAACAATCATCTTTTTTAATGATATAATATTTGGTGTTCTAAATAAAAGTTATTAACATCCTTTTTATGACCCGAGTTTCAACAGTTGTAATTTTTTTCTATGAATGCAGCAAGTAAAAGAATTATGCAGTCAGTACTATTCCCAGCCAAATACTGAAGCTTAGATGACATACAAACTTACACTTGAGAACTGAGTTTAAGATGTACAGGTTAGCATTTGTGTCATTACAGTTAATTATTATGTTCCATTATGAAAATCAGATGTAGTTTAATATTTCATACACGAAAATAACAAGATAATTATATATTGTTGATCTAGCTATTTTGTGATAAAAATTACATGTTGTTACTACATTGGTTGCTATGGTCAACATTAGCAAAATAGAACCAGAATTTCTGCATCCAGTATATAAATTCACTAATACAATAATACAGCAGCACATTACTACTAAAATAATAATCAACAGCACACTGCAGCCTAGTCAAACAGAAATTTTCAAACAAACTTTTTTTTTACTGCTGTATTTTGAAAAGCTGTTGAACTTTACCCTGTGTATCCAAGAAAGGCTTGGTCCAATCTAAGCCGTCCTTGGAGGTAACATTTTTGGTGATAAGCTCCATGGCAGAATCTCTACCAAAAGCTGAAACTTTACTGCTGACTAGCATCTTCACTAAAGCTTTGAACACTTCATCAAGGAATGCGCTGGACTCTTCACCTAAAGATAGAAATTTAATTAGTGAATCTCAGTTTCATTTAAAATATTTTAACTATTTATATTCTCTAAAAAAAAAATAAAGTAAGCAGCTCCATTTATTCTGTGGGTTTGTATTCAGCAATCCAGACAAAAATAAATAAATTGACAAAATGTTTTTGATTTACTATGCAAATTTTTCATCAGGTTAAAATTTGTGAATAAATGTTTTGAATAAAAATATGTAACTTCAACCTAAATTTGTAACAAATAGTCTTTTAAAAGTTATAAATTTATAAAATGAACAGAAACAATGATTCAGTACTAGCAGTTGTCTAATTTTCTAATATCTGTATAAACATTAAATTGGAATAACAAAGATTCATCAGCGGGATAACTTACTAAGTTTTATGTGCGGGTAAGGTTGTCTTTCACCCTTTTTCTTAGCCTCTTCATACTTTTTTAAAGCATCCTGATGTTCATTAAGTCCAGTGAAGTAGGTGATGAGATTCTGGATCAGAAGAGCCACAGACGACGCCATCTCTTCTGTATCTGCCGACATCAGATGTACCAAGGTGGGAATTCCTATCTCTTTCATTATTGCAGCACACTGTTACGTTAATAAAAACAAAACAACAGATTTTTAGAGAGAAAACTAAAGAAGTTTTAAAGAACACTAAGATTGTATGAAACTGAGATTTGCAGATCACTTATTAAGATAGGAAATTTTTCCCATGGTGGAAAAAGGTTTTATAATCATGTATCTGATAACAAATTAAAGATTTTTTTTACAGGTTTTCCCACAAGAATATGAGAAATTTCAAGGAAAGTCACAGTAAAAATTGATTCTCTCTTCAAATGAAAAATTGGATTTTCTTTTAGAAAAAACTGACTTTAAATTTTTTTTATTTATTGAATACTTGATTACAAAATGACCACTTGAGTAGTGCAGAACTGTTGAGGTAACCAGGAAGTACTCACCCTGACTTTGCTACCTTTGGCCAATGAGCCCAGCACCCTAACAGCTGCTTTCTGTATGTCTTGGTCCTTCTCTGCCAGGAGAGGCTTCAGCTTGTTCAGGCCTCCCTCCTGTACTATCTGTGTGCTGCCAACATTTTCTCTTGACAAAACTATCAGGTTATTTAAAGCCTGAAAATACAGGGAGAAAAATTTATAATTGATTCATTTCTCTAAGACCAGAATCCCACCTGTCTATTAAAAGTATATCATCATCACTTTAAGCATCATGTGAGCGCACATTCTCCCCCACATCACAGACATTTTCTTGTTGAAAATTTTATTACCACTTTGATCCGGCAGATTTTCTTAATGCTATTGAATTTCTCAACCTACTTTTTTACTATAAGATATTGAGGCCATTCTTTTGTTGCTATTATCACTACATGACTATGGCCTTAATACTGACAGTAACAATCACATGATACATACCTGTACTGTCCTGACTGCTATTTAAAAGAACTTATTAAGCTTTTAACAAGACAACAATAATGTTAAGTTTTTTGTTTCTCTTTACCTGCAACCGTTTCTGCTTGTCAACTGTCTGGTCAAAGGCGATGTTAAACATCTGGGATACTTTGTTGCCCGTTGTGGCCTGTTGCTTGGCCTAGAGGAAAAAATTGGTTTACAATGCAGACATGACTTTTAAACAAAACATTTTGTTTTGACTAGCACTGAGCTTAGCATTTTAGTTTAGAAAACATCGCTTAACAAAATAAGACAATCTAGTTTGATACAGTAGACATAATTTACTACTTGTGAAATTCGAATCTAAACTTTGATTTTAAACAGATAACTTACTTTTTCCTGAACAATGCTGTTAAGTCTGTTAAACAATGGACGAGCTGCTTTATTCTGAGGGTCTACTTTGATTAAGAGAATCGCATCTTTGTAAGCATCTTCAACCTGACCCAAACTTTCGTATGCTTGACATCTTCTAAATAAAGCCTTTGGGTCATTTGGTCCCAACTCAAGGGCTAAAAAAATGGAGATTAAAATAAATTATGAGTTAATTAATTATTAATTAATGATCCATTAAAATTGTGTTCTCTACAGGGCTGGTATACTCATTTACATGTTTAAAAAAACGTGTAAATTTTTTGTCAAAAAACAACGTAAAACAATTTACCCCACAACAACTTCAATTAAAAATTTTTGAATAAGATTTTTTGTCTACATAATTTCACATTTTCTTAATTTCCCCCTTTCCACGGGTCACAAAACTCGGGCCCTGTTTTTCCTTTTTATGGATGACCTGTATTATTTAAAAAACATAGGATTTATTCTACTGCCTAACAACAGTTTTATTTACAAAAATGACATTCATGGCTTACATTTAGTGGCATCAATTACAGCATCTTCATTTCTGTTTAACTTGAGAAAACATGCAGCTCTGTTTTTGTAGACAATGGCTTTTTCCTGGTCTTTTAAAGGACCTGTATCAAGGGCCTGTGTGTACCAAGAAAGAGCATCCTCATACTTTTCACTTTTAAAGGCCTGATTTCCTTTTTCACGCAAGGTACCTGATTCTGTCATTTTTTTTTCAACTTCTAAAAAAATAGAAAATAGAAGAAAGAAATTAAAAAGTGAGAATACAAATAATTCTGATATCTTTGAAAAAGTTTATAGATTCTATATTTGATTTTTTAAAACTACATGTTCATATTGTTGTTTATCTATTCAATTACTTTTGTTTGTCTACTCATTAATAAAAAAGTGAATCACATTCTCTCTGATTCTCAGCCTTTAATAATAACTTTGGTAAAACCTTAGTTTAGCGTCGGTTATTATTCTGGAATCGTATAGCAGTAAAAAACAGTAAAACAATGCCTAAGTCTGTCACACACTTCCGGAATTCACCGGAAGTACTGTAAACCATACTTTATTTGGCGTCATCTTTTATTTTTACACAGAATGTTTAAAATTTGGATAGATTTATTTTTGTAATCATTTTTACATTTTGTAATCATTTTTACTATTTTCGTAATCTAGATTTTTTTTACTTGGCCTAGCAGCTAGATATCTAGCTAGATCTAGATCTAATTAATTAATGGTCGCATATCCGATGCAAGCAAAAAACATTAAATTATTACATTTGACTTCATTATTTATATTTATATTAATATGTTTTTTTTATTTTTAGATCTACTAATTTAAATCTACTATTATATTTATTCTTGTTTCCTTTTGTCGATTAAACTTAAAAAATTAAAACATTAATTTACTACAATCGACTTTCAATTTATTTATATTTCAATGGTAAAATAAACCATGGTTAACTCTAGTTACCGAAACTCAACAAACATTACCCGATAATTTCCGACGCTAAACTAAGGTTTTACCATAACTTTAGGCCCTAATTTTAAAAATTCAGATTCTTCAGCCTTGTCTTATCAATAAAAATAAAAGATAGGCCTAGAACTTTTGGTAAAACCTTAGTTTAGCGTCGTAAATTCCAACGTAGCTAGTAATGTGCGATGGAGGTAACTAATGAATATTTCTTTCATTTGGCCATATTTATGACATATTTTGCATAATATAACAGATAATTAAATAACAAATCACAATCCATGATCAAACCAGTCAAAAATATCCTGGAATAAACTTTAAACTACCCCGTTCGAGACAACACTGAGTAAATACAAGCAGCGGCCATGTTTCAAAAACAATAATAAAGAAGTTTCCCTTGAAAAATTGTCTATTCGCATGTCTGTTGTGTTGATTTTGTGGTTTAATATGGTTGTTTTGTATTGTTTTAATATATGCCTGTATAGTAATTTTTCTTTTTCAATATAGTTGACATGAATGACTAATAGACCTTTTCAGACTTAATAGTGTGCATCCAAGACCACAACAATTGTTGGGAGGTCGAACTTTTGAACACTTTTTTTTTACAGTAGGGCCTAATCAAATTAATATTAGATCGCCCTTAAATGACGTCGCTCTTAAGATAGTAATGACAGCGTGCATTATTACAGAACAAACATATGAGCATATTGTTTCAGATAGAAATTGTGATTTGTGGTGCGGAGAGGTTGAGTAGAACTCAGCAGAGGCGTAGCGAGGGGGGGGGGACATATGTCCCCGGGCGCCGACCTAAGGGGGGGCGTCAAATTGAAAGTTTGAGGGGGGGGGTGCAAATGAAAAGTTCGAGGGGGGGTGCAAATCGAAAGTTTGTCCCCGGGCGTCGGGAAGGGTCGCTACGCCTCTGGAACTCAAGGATGTGATTTTGAGACGGGTCAGTTTTTTTTTTCTGAAAACGGGATGGTTGTGGGAGAAAGAACAGCTGTAGAAGTATGACGCGTCATTCATTGGAGATCCATTTTCTCAGTGGGGACGATAGAACTATTAAGAAGGGTCAAGAAAAGTAATGAGCATGCTGAATCGCATTTCTTGAACCCCACCTTTTCATTCCCCCACTTAGCACATCGTCACCGAGTTAACGCGAGACTTTCGGCCCTTTAAAAATGTATTAAGCTCCCACCGTATAGAACTAGCCTACCCATATTAAGCTCCAAAAGAAGTTTGGTGAAAACGGGATGGCCGTCCGATTTTGAAGCTGCGCTGCGCTTTATAAAAAGCACAATAAACGATAAGATGACACTTATATTAAGTAAATTATAGTTCTGAATATTGATACATTAAAAGTGATATTCGAAAATTAAGAGCCAGACAGTCAACATAATATTTCAATTTAAGTCCAAGAAAATAAATTTCCTCAAACGATGGAACATTACTAAATTTTAGCGCAGTTTAGCGAAATTGAATTTAAGTATTTACGTCATCTTACAAAGCGCGATAGCTTACTAGTGCTGTAACGCGGCCCATGCTAATGGCCGTATTCCTAACGCCCCGCATTAGACGCGGCTTATTTGTCGGCAGGCCTTTTTGACGGGGATAATGTGTTGAGGCCGTTTTGCCAAATGTCTTAAACTAGCAGGCTTGCAACATTTGTGATGATTCGTTTTGAGCAAGGTATACGTATACTGATGCCTATTTATCGTTATTTTGATTGAACAAAGCATTATAGAGGTTCTCCATCAACCACCTAGGTATTTTCCCCCGTTCACCTCCTTTCATGATACCGACACGTCATAATTTGCGGAGCCGCCTGAGTTGACGTCACAAATCTTCACTCACTCCCGTAGCAAATCATATGTGACATCATTTATGGACAACCCCATATCACTCACTTGGGTACTTGATATTGACAATTTGACAACAAAGTATAACCAAAATGTGTCTGGCAGGTGGAGACTTGCGATCGACCATAAATGACAACACTCACTTAAGGGGTGGACTGGCTCATTGTTTTAGATGATGTTTTACGAGGGAAGCTGGTGGATAATACATTTTGTCTCTCTGTATATAGAAATGATGACAAACATTTAATGTTGTCAAAATTATGGTTAGAGATCTTAGGGGTCATCCATAAATGACGTCACGCTTTTTTTGACGATTTTTACCTCCCCCCTCCCCTCCGTCACACGTCGTCACAAAAAGCCAGACCCCCCCCCCTAAAATGACGTCACACCTCAACCTACAACCCCCCTCAAAATTGCAGTTGAATTTTTTTTTAAACATCGATATTTTTCCAAAATCTTGTCTAAACTATAACAATTTATTAAAACAGTTATCTAAAACGCGAAATAACGTCTAAAATTCGTTTTCTTACATTGCTTTTTTATAATGCAAAAATTTGACGTCGCAACATCTGAAACCCCCCCCCTCCCCATCTTCACAAAATTACGGACCCCCCCCCTCCCCCTATGAGTGTGACGTCATTTATGGATGACCCCTTAGATAAGGCAGAGTGAAGCGTAATTTTTTACATTATGACTTGTTTTGACATTGACAACAAAAATATGACGGAGGTTGGGGTTTAATTAAGGTACAGAGAAGTAAAAAAAATGTCATAAGTTACGATAAAATCACTAATTGATGAAAAGAAAAACCTGAAATGAAAATAGTGAACATTCAAACAAGAAAAAACTCAAACTATATAGCAATAATAAGATCAAATAAACATTAGTAAAAAAACACGTGATTTAATACATGGATACAAGTTGCATCTCACAATGCTTCTAGAATTAATAAAGTTGTTTGTTAGGAAATTCAGGGCAGAATTTAAAAAAAAAATTCTTTATAATACAGACTATACAACAAGACAATCATATTTAAATACATTTTCATACGAATAGAAATGAAAGGGAAGCTACTCTAAATAACATTTTCTTAAGATGGCTGCTGTTTTTAATAGCAAATTTACTATCTCGAACAGGGTCGATAAAAATTAATTTCAGGATACTTAAATTGATTTAACCATAAATGGTGATCTATTATTCAATTATCTATAATATTTTATCAAAATATACGAAAATATACTCATATTTAATGACATATTCATTAATTCACTCTCTCCCACATTACTAGTTTTGGCCGAATTTACGACGCTAAACTAAGGTTTTACCGAACTTTTAAACAAGACGATAGATTATCAACTCACTGATATAGATCTACAAGTCAGATAACTTTTACTGGTAAGTGAAAAAGTAATTGTGTAGATCTAGATATCTAGATCTTTAGATCTAGACTAGTTGCGTTTTATTTGACTCACACTTCACTACTAAATCTGTGCTCACTCTTATGGAAAGTTCAACCCGGAAATAATAAAATACATATTTACCTCACTGATAAAAGATGCACTTATCTAGATAATTCTGCTAGTTTGGATAAAATATTGTTTGTTTTGCAAATTTGGATTTAATGATTAAAGAGACATAGCTACGGGTTTAAAAATACGTATATAAATGCCAAAACCGAAAATCTGGTATGAGAATTAAAGCATTAAATATTGATCAGTCTATATAAGTTTTTTTCTTAAAGGGCGACAACTAAACACCAGTCATTTTTTTTCTTTACGCGATACCCATAAAAGGAAGTTGCTTAGATGAGTGTATTTTACGATCTCGGTGTTAGGTAATAGAGATTAAGCAAATGTATTTCATAGTGCGCTATCTAAGGCAACGAAAAATCAATTTAAGTACCTTATTTCACCAAATATAGCACAAATATGGGAATTCAAATATGTACTTTGCATTTGTCGTGATTTGCGTCAGCCTCTGTGGCCAAGTGGTAAGGCGTCGGTCTCGTAAACCGAAGATCCAGGGTTCGATCCCCTGCGGAGGCATATTGAGTACGATTTTTTCGTAATTTTTAGAGTTCTTTCTATTCATGGATAGATTTTATTCTAAAACATACTCAAGTCATTAAGTGTTCTCTAAAGAATTGAGATCTACACATGGACAATGGACATATATACATAGATTCTAGTATAAATTGTTTAGCAGAGACATGATTGATAAAGCTTTAATGTCATCTTGACCAATGATCTTCACACATACAGTTAGGTGTAGCCCCCTTCCCGCCTCTCCCACAACCCCTTTAACAATTTTGCACTTTCGGTTTGGGTTTCACCCATTCTCACTTTTGTTATTTTAACTGGATAATTCTTGTCGCACTGTTTTATAAACAGTAGCATTGTCATTCAGGTGTATACATTCTCTATGCATACGTACAAGGGCATATCAACATTATGATGATTAATTTAACGGGTCATGTGGACATCCACAAGAACCTAAACAATTCATTCCCCCATATTCTAGCCAGCCTTATATCATCCCAACTTATCTCCTTCATGCAGTGTTTCTTCCAGACTTGTTTCTCTGAGAGGCACTTGAAATTTTGAGGGGGGGGGGGGGGGGCTAAAATTTGGGGGGTGGGGGGCCGGACACTGGTAAAAGTATATATTATTTTGTATATAAATTCTATTTCTTTTGCAGGCGCGATAGAAGTTTTTTTTTTTTTTGGTTGTGGGGGATGCTCTCAAAGAGATGCCTGGAAGAAACTCTTCCCCCATGTTCGTTTAATAATTGATGCCCCTTATTGATTCAAGTTCAGGGAAGTGGCCATTGATGGATCTAGTAGCATGCGTAGAAGTGCTTAATCCTCACAATTTGATTCTATTATTAGAAATTTATAATTTAACTTTTTTACTTGGTTTGTTTTTTAAAAGATGCAAAGAGACATGTTTGTTGGGCGCAGGTTTGTCCACACTACCACCGACAGGGCATGCAGAATGAAAGCCTTGAGTGTATGTTATTTACCCCCTTGTATTAGTGAGGTAGAACTTACCTCAGTGAGCGCCCAGGTATCAGTGGTGTCTTGGGGCGGGTTTACACTCCCGCAGGGCGCCTGGTGCAGACCCTGATTTGGTTTAATCATTAAACGTCGAATGCTGTGTCCCTATTGTAAACTATTGTTGGGTGCGCCATAGTGCTCATGGAGGGACCCTGAGGAGATGAGGCTCACAAAACCTTTAGGACCAGTGTTTCTTTCAAGCTTTTTTCTCCAGGGGGGGGGAGGGGGCGACACTTGAAATTTTTAGGGGGGACTAAAATATTTCCGGGGCTGGGACACTGTTAAAAGTATATATTTTCTATATAAATTCCATTTCACTCGGGGGAAAGGGTAGGTAGAAGAATAAACCCTGACCATAATAGTGTTCACCAAAAGGCCTAAGGCCACTTTGAAATTCAATTTCTTTTTAAGTAGAAACCTCCCCAGGGGTATTCTCAATAGCTTCTCAAAGTTTCATGCCGATTTGTTAAAGGCTAAAGGACATAAAAACCAATGAACAAAACATACTTTAAATATATATAGAAGATACTTTACACACATCATTGTCACATCAGCAACAAAAAACTAATTGAATCCTATTTTAGTATTTTTTAACAATTTTTATACTGCTACTCAGTGATACTGTTTTATTTTCTTGTAGAAGTAAGTAGTATTATAAAAAAGTTTTGTTTTCATGATCACTCACTTACCACAAATCCACAGTTTTGGATTTAGATCTATCTATAGTTTTTGTGAATAGTAAATTACCTGTTGAGCTTTTTAAACACGGGCACTCTCGATTAAACTGGATTTTTTTTGTCTTACTCCCCTAGTGTGAACTACCCCCAACTTTTAAAAAAGGGAGAATACTATGGTGTTGTTTTTTTTATTGTTTAAAAAAGTAGTGATGTCCCTTGTCATTATCCCTTACGTGTAATATGGCCCTCTTAAAATGGTATGCAGGGCGAGGACACATGTTTAAAATTAAGAGTACTGTATGAATGTATCTTTCATAAGTTCACCTTTTGTGCTGTATTATCAAGTATTTTTCTAATCTACTTGAATAAAATGAATGGGCCTTTTAAAACTGTTTTTAATTAAGGTTAAGCAGAGGTATGCCATTCAACATTGTTAAGATATTTTCAAATAATAAATATTTTAAGTTTTGAAAAATGTATCAATTTCTACACATGAAGTGAAGACTCAAGAAAAATTGTACATTGGTGAGCAATAGTTGTGCTTCTTTCTACATCACATTAATTTTGCAGTCTTTACTAAAAAACAGAAGAAATGAAAACAGGAAACAAAATTTGAAATATAAATAACATTTGCTTTTATTATTTTTACAATTTAAAATTGTATTCCATATCTAGATTTTGTTAAATGCAGCCACATCAACACTTTGGACCTGAAAATTCAAACAAAATTTTAAAATTTGAATGTTGTCTAAAGCATAGGACGTAAACTAATTTACAGAAATAGTTTAGAATATGGGAGAAATCCAAATGGATCATTGCTAAACATATTATTGTGTTTCTCGTTAACATATAAAGGAAAGCTTTTTTAAAACCAATAGTTAGATATTTATGAAGTTTTAATACATTGAATTTTTTTCTCTCTTTTAAAACCTAACAAATGGAAAACAACTAATTCTTGGAAAATTCCCAGAAACCGGGACAGGGAGCTTGATTGAAAGCAAACTTAAAGCATAATGATGTTCAATTTTCAACTCAGTAGGATTATTTTCTTATTGTCCCTGGAATTTTCAGATTTCTAAGATTTAATGCAGATCATGTAACGTATTTTTGATGGACTAAATAGTTTATTTACTCAATTAAACCTACCAAATCTTCATTCTCGTTTGTGATTCGTTCAGAAAGATCTTCTATGCTGACTTTGTCATCTTCTACAACACACATAATAGTAAGTTTCTTGATGCCATATCCTACTTCAACAAGTTTTGCTGAAATGAGAGTAAATAAATATTGCGATAAACATACACTATTCATTATTTTAGAAACACTACAACTAAAAGGCATATGTATGGTTATCCTCTATACAACAAGAGCATTGAGAATATAAGGAACAAAATAGCAATATTTTAAAAACACCATTCTTACAACAAGTTTTCAAGTTGATAAATGAACAAATGAATAAATGTATTTTAACATGTCTTTTGCAGTCAGTTTCAGCTATTCTGTGTTGTTTGACTTTGATATGAATGTACTACAAAGTCATGCTAAAAAGTAAAGACTTCTCATCAACTTTACATAAGACAGGCAAGTAATTAGTAATTTAAAAAACACAATTTTGTGATAACAAATGTGAGGGGCATTGCTATGTACTTATTTCAATATTAGATAATAGTATTTGTAAATGTTAGTGGTATGAGCCTTAAAGAAATGTAATTCTGTAACGATTGTAGGTGAAAATGAAGAAAACTACAATTTAATAGTGAAAGTGAAACTACTGAAAGTTTTATGTTATAAGTATTTCTCATGTTTGGGAATGTTAAGGTGGCTTTATGTTATTATTTTTATTTCTCGCATGCTCTCTTTTTCTCTACATTGTGAACTTTGTCTTGTAAGATTAACCAACCAAAATATTATTTCATTATACTTTCTTATGATTCTTTTTAATTTGAAAAAAAAAAAGTTATCCTTACATGCACCCCATACTAGACCATCTAATTCAATTGATCTAACTCTTTTCTCCATTTCAGCCATATCTGTCTCATCATCCCAAGGCTTACAATCAAGAAGAACACTTGATTTGGCGATAAGAACTGGCTCTGAAATACACATCTCCATAGTCAAAAACATTCTGATAACACACAATTAATATTTTCATAGTGCAACAAACACTGTATGTATCAGATTTCATGGGGAAAACATGAGCATCTTTATACAAATTTTGTTTAAAGAAATTCTGCATTTTTTAATTTTTAAAATAGAACAATACAAAACAGACCAATTTAGCAACCATGGAGATTCTTTTTATAGGAATTAAATTTAAAATTTACTTCCCTTACAGTAGGTCTAAAATAAAAAAAAAATGAAAAAAAAAAAAATCCATTAACCGTCCCAAGGACAACCAAAAAAGCCGTTGCCATTTGCTAATAAGATTTTTTTTATACATAACTCACTTTTGGCTTTTTTTTCTTCATAATCCTGAAGTCTTTTAGCTTTCAATGCTTTTGTTTCCTCATCCTATATGGAAAAACAAAAAAGAATTACTCAAATGTAAGCTCAAAATTATCCAACCAACTAACCATAATCATTTACGACTTAATAGCAACAAAACATTTTAACCTCATATTTTAAGTAACAGTAGTGATTCTAAATTGTAACAAAATACTAACTTTGTTTACAACTTAAAAATTCTTCAAAAACATTCTTAGACTAAAATAAAATCTGTAATTACATCGCTGCCAGTTTACAACTTAAAAATTATTTTAAAAAACTCTTAGACAGACTAAAATAAATCTGTAATTACATCGCTGCCAAACAAATCATCATCGTCGTCATCATCATCAGCAGGGGGTGCAGGTTTTGATGGAGCAGGTTTACCTGGTGGTTTGCCAGCAGGAGCAGCAGCAGGGGTAGCGGCTGGCTTACCAGAACCAGATGACTGTATGTTTAATATCAAAGCTTTAAGGTCATCAGTAACTAGAGATGAAATAAAAATGACATTCAAACACAAAGAAGCAAAATCAGGGAACACAATCTGCAATATGTTTCAGCTAGTTGAAAAAGCAATTGACAATAGGCAAACAGAATTGACAATAGGCAAACATCACTCACTTTTCCTGAGTTCTCTGTTTTCTTTTTCTAAGGCTTCTAAACGCTTCAGAACACTAGCATCACCACCAGCCCCTCCAGCCTGTGGGTAAAAGCAAACAAACAACAACACATTTAATTACAACCTATCAGGTTTTTTTAACTGCTGGTATTGAAACATTACAAGTTCATCCCAAATTTGAAATGAAATTGAAACAATAAAATGTTCTAGTACTATAATAAATGTGTGTCATTCTCTGCAATGTTAAATAAAGTTGGGTCTAGGCTGTACAGAAAAGTCATTCCAATTTAAGATTTTAAGGTACATAAAAAACCTGAAAAGTAAAGAGAACTAAGATTGCAAGAAGTCACTCCAAAGCTAATGGAGAAAAAACTTTTTAACCTTTTAAAGTTTCAAATAAAATAAAAATACACAAAAAAATTAAATTCTATCTGGAAACAATCAAAACTTTTGAGTTAGTATACGAGTGTAAGCAATTTTTCAATAGAAAAGAAGAGAAGTTATATTTTGTTAAAACCCTCTGTAATTCCAGATTCCAATGACACCCTTTTCTATTTTTACAAAGGCCAACCATTTAGTTATTAAATCAGCACTTATATAGAACTCCAGGGTGCTTTGAAGGTGTGAGGGAGAAAATGTGAGTAGAGAAACAGATTCAGTTCTGTACATTCCCATATGCGGTTTTCATTGCATTTTCATAAAATAATTTACTTAATTCAACACTACTCAAATAACTAATTACAAGATTTCAACAACTTAGGTACAGTAATTTCAAATAAGATAAAAACAAAAAAGTTCCATACAATTATAAAAATAAAACCAGAAGCATAAGAGCAATCCAAAGAAAACAACTTATATTACCATAGATATACTGTAAAAAAATTAATGGGAGAATTTAAAATTGAGAAAAATTTTGCAAACAAGCCACAAGGTTGTCCTCCATTTGTGACATTCACAAAAATTTTTATTTTTCACCACTTTTCCCTAAAAGCATCAGCTCTGGATGGAACACATAAAAGTGTTTCCCTATCCTTTTTTTTGTGTGTGATGCACCACCTAAACCCTTCTAAAACTGAAATGCTCACAAACTTGAATGATAGGTTATAGGAGAAAACCACTACAAAATTATTGAGCAAAAAGTAAATTTAAAAAAAAAACACATTATGGAGAATTAAAGTACACATTTTTTTAATAAAAGATATAACTCTCTAACTAATTATTAATAATAATTTAAAATTCATTTTGCTTGATGCCTGCTACAAATAGATTTTGTCAGATTCCGTTTCAGTTACAAGTCACCGTGTTTTGGTATTTCAAGATAGTTTCTTAATTTTAGTAGCAAAAAATTCAGTTAAATTTGAAGATGGAAATAGTAAGTTAACCCTACTTCTCTTGCACATGAGACTGCATTTGTATATTTGATTGTGGATTCCTATAAAATTTTAATAGATCTCATTTTGAATCTCTGCAAGTTACTGATATTACAGTTTATTACTGCCTATAAGAAATATAAAAAAAAAACCCCACAAACAGTGGCTTAATCATCTTTCTTTTAAATCAGCTAATACACTTTTGAGATATCAAAATAACCGCAACTGTATCTGCCACTTTTAATTTTTGGAGTCAAACATTTTAAAAATGCTGTAGTAGATGTCACTATTCAATAAAGGTAATGAAACCAAAGTTGCTTTTTCATAAAAAGGTGTATTTATACCTTAGTTATTTAATGAATAAGTTTAGTTTTTTCAAAGATAACCAAATAACTCACTATTGACTAATTATGGCCTATTAACATATTTTTCATCTCAGGTGTGTGGCTTAGAAAATAACTTTGAAGTTAAGTGTACAAGAAAAAAAATTTGCTATATCACTAATACGAATAATACCCACTTAACAACACATTTTCAACACATAACTAATTTTTCAAAACTTACAGATAAAAGTGTCGCTTCCAAATGTATGGCACTTATACAAAGCATCTCACTAATGACTTTAACTATTTTCTTTTAAAAAGTTATTAACATATCAACTGCATAGCAGTAAAAATAAAATAAAAAATGTCCAATATTAATTATCAAAATTTACTCTTAATACCGAATTGTTTATTTTAAAACTTTAAGTACAATAATAATCTATTATAATGATGGAAATTAATTTCTTTTGTTTCATGCAATCACGACAACACTAAAAAAATTACCCCACAACAAGGACAACTAAAAATTTGTTGAGATAGTAAATAATCAAAATAGCCCACATAAATACAAACAAAAACTGGAAGCAGAATAAAACATGTAAAACATGTCACCTATAAAAATGAAACTTAAGTGAAGCCATTTATACAACTGTGAAGGACACTGAATTATTATAGTGAATGTTACTCACTCCCAAAACTGGTTGTTTATTTAATGCATTCTGTATGTCCTTTCTCACTTGGGCTATTTCACCAGCCAAAGAGTTACCTGTTTTCTACAGATAAAAACAAACACTTTGCACAAGCTTGGAATATTTGCAGTTATAGAGGATATTTTAAAATGCAGGCTTATAACCATAGTTTTGTTTTTAAAAGCTTATACAGGAGTGGAGTGTGATGGCAACAAACAGATTTAATCAAATATGACGTTTTAACATCTGGCGCATTATAAATCTATAACACTGATTCAAAATTAAAATGTATAAAACTGTTTACAGACAGCTTTGTAAAAGTTTATATAAAATAATGTGAATGTAAGAAAATGCAAAAGAGCAAACATTTGAGTTTTTGAGGTGTAAATTTTGGTTTAAAAAAAAAACATTATATAGGCCCACATGGGTAAAAAATTCCATGTCCTAATTGATAAAAATTTATTTTGAATAAGGAGCTACTTAAAAATGCTAATCTGTAATACAAACATTACAAAAAATTATTATAAAGTTAAATGACACCGAAAAAAGCAGTAATTGGATGGATGAAAAGAGGTAGTTTACACAGTGATTAGGAGATTTTAAGGCTGGTGAAGAATCAAACTGATTTTAAAAGTATGTCTCATACATTAGAGTAATTTTATTAACAGGATTGAAACAATTTTTACAAACAAGTTTCCAAATGTAATCAGGCAAATAGAATTTGATTGTTATTTCAGAATAACAGAGCCAAAAAATGATACAGTTTCTGTACAAAGAAATGGCATATCAAAATACTCCACGGAAAAAATTGACAAAAATATGAAATTTCAGTTTAAGGAATCATGTAATTTAATTTTTAAACATGATTTTAAGTACAAGGCTAAATTTAGCTTTAACTTTAAGATGGAACAAATCACTAAAAGATAGGAAAATAGAAAATGGTAGGAACCTAAAGTAATACTCTCAGCATATAGTAACCAAAGAAAATATACAGACATTGCACTTACAGAAAAATTCCACCACCAGAAATGCAAACTATTTATTTAAACCCACAAAATGGTGCATATTAAGACATTGGCAAAAACACAGCCGAGTTTATCTTTAGTAGCAATGCTACCCTAACAACACTGACCTTCAGGGTTCGTACTGCTTTTTGAAAATGAAATTCCAGACTTTTTCCAGACATTTTCCAGACTTTTTTGGAAAAATTCCAGACTTTAGGCAGATAATGTGTTAGCGAATAATTTTTTAAAATGATGCACTATTTGTACTGTCATTATAATTACTTATACTAAATTGACATTTATTTTAGGCAATTGAGCTATATTCATAGTGAACTTTCTCTAGCCAAATTGACAAAAAAAACATTTTTTCTAAGTTTGCCTAAAATTTTAACAATTAAAATAATTGATTAAAATTATGCAACTATTTTGTTTCCAACATTAGACTTATGTAATCTGTTCCTGATCTAATTGCTTATGTTTTCAATTAAACTATCATTAAAATGGTATTGCATAATAGTGAGAGTTAATTACTTCAAAGAATAATAATTTAATGTATTAATTTAGGTCTGCTCTTGTTAAGTAGCCTAAATAAATATAGGCTACTTGTAAAAAAAAATGTGGAGCAAAAAAAGAAAAATCATTCACTGTTTGTGCTTATAGTAATAGCTGAGAAACGGGTCTGCAATTAAAAAAAAAAGTTGCCGGTATCCTTCCCCCCCCCCCCCCCACAGACACGACACGGTGAAGGGGTCACTGTGAGGTCATAGTAGTCTAGACTTCAGTATGCCTGTTTAATACGTCATAACATGAACTGTGCTGTGACTTATACCCCCTCCCCCACCCTACTTACCAAGAAGTACCAACTACGTACTTGGGGTTACGGTGAGTTCACACAAGTGACCGATGTTACAAGGAGGGGCGGGGTAGTCTAACTTTAATCGTCAGCATTTGCAAATATTTCAAAAACAGTTTAATGGAAGGTGAATTACAATTAAAGGGGTCATCCATTTATGACGTACACATGGAGGGGGGAAGGGGTCGGAAGATTTTGTGATTACATTCTAAAACAAACATAAAACTTGTATCTTGCAAGTAGAAAGTAAAATTAAGAGGACTGTGCTGGTGTTTTAAAAACCATCACAGCGTGTAAATAAAACACGGTATTTATATCTGCCCTAACATTATTGCAAGAGCGTGTAGTCACACTATAAAACCCTCCTCCCGACTTTCCGGAGTGTGACGTCATTTATGGACGACTCATAAATAAAAATAGTACCTCTTTGTTAAGCTGAAGCAAACAGAAATACAGGTATGAACCCAAGGAGGCCTTGCGACTTATTAATCTTATAAATGTTATTATATTAATCCAAAGTAAGGGAACGCGTGTGGACAGAGGGCGGGGGAGTGGGGAAGGGGGGGGGGGTCTAAAATCCAAAAAATTGTTGTAAGTCATAAATGGATGACACCTTACAGCTGATAAATTATATCTAAACTACCACTCACACATCTTCCCCATAACTTTTTGTTATGACTGCCTGCATGCAAACTCAAACGATGAAAAAATAGCGGGTAACAATCATGACGGCGATCATTCTTTTATTAAACGACAATTGTAAGTACTTGTAACACATTCACACGGTCAGTCGTGCCACAAAATATCTCTTCCCTCCCTTCCCCTCTTCTCCCAATGACGTAGATCTAGTAACTGAGCATTTTTTTCTGCAAACCAGCGAAAAAACGTCACAACATAGTGTAAACGCGCGCGACAGCGCGGGAAAAAAATTGGAGTAAATTTACTTAAAAATAGCAATTTTTTAAGTTGGAAAATATGGACTACGAAGTTTTGTTTCTAAAACTAGATTCCAGACTTTTTCCAGACTTTTAAAAAATCCAGCCCAAAAACTAGCGATTTTCCAGACTTTTTTAAGTCTTAAATTCACTTTTTGAAATTCAAGACTTTTTCCAGACTTTCCAGACTGCGTACGAACCCTGGACCTTATCCTCAAGGGATACAGGCAGAATCATTGCTGTAATGTTATAACAGATTTTTTAAAAAAAGATGGATTTTAAATTTTTGACTATCGCAAATCATACAAACCTCTACAACTGAAGCTTTTGTTGTTCCAGCTTCAAGCTGGCGGTAAAGACGCTCAGCATCCTCAAACTTTTGTTGCTGGAGCCAGACATTTTCTAAAGCAAGAGGATTAGCCATTGCTGATGGGTCTGTTACTTTACTGTGAACAAAAACAAACATTGAAATATAAAAATCATACCAGTTCAAGTTTAACAAAAAAAAAAGATTGATTTAATACTTCTAGCCAGGAAAAAAAAGAGCCTCAACAATGAAGGTCAAATGTAAAAAGGGTACACTAACCTATGTAAAAACATCAGACTAAATGGTACCAAATATAGTCAACATTAAAATTTAAGGCATTATTAGTTTGTTCATCTAGTGAAAAAAATCGTGTTTTTTTCTGCACCCATTTAGGGGAAGAAATAAAAACTCACAAAAAAAGCCATTCAATATAGGCCTATTTTTTTAGCCTTGACGTCATTGCTATCAATGTGAATGCTGGACAGTAATAGGCTCTGTTGCTACTAAGTTTTTAAAATCATTTTTGGTCTATTTTCCCAGCTTAATTACAATTCACCTGTCTATGGGAGGAAATAGTTTAGACTCTAAAACCTCCCATACCACAATAAACTAACCTTTCAGGTTTTGTATTTTGTGTTAGCACATTAATTTTAACTTGTTTAATTATTCATCTGGATCTAGAAGGACTAGGCTAAAAAATTTAATATCCTAATATATAAAAGCCCAAATGCGCACTTCTCTCTCTCTGTCTGTCCGCAAAATATTTTCGCCGGATATCACGTCAGAATCTTCAGCGATACATGGAGAACTTGCTACGGACTTTTGTTGAAAATAATATGGTAGATGTTTTAAATGTATAACCACAATTTTATTTAAAGAAGAAAAATAAAAAATTAAGGCGTATTCGAATGTAGAAAAACAGTTTTAATTATGCAACAGGAAAATCGTTTATAGTTGTGAAAAAGAATGCATAAAACAGTGATGTCACTAATGTTTATACATTAGCTAATGACGTCATCTGCCGTGTTTAGAATAAAAAGAAATGAACTATTTCATTCAAATATTATTTAGATCTACGTACGCTATAAAATTTATACAATACAATTTTGCTCGGGCTAAACTTAAAAAAAAAATTCTATTAGGATTCTAAATCTAGATAATCTAGATCTAGAGATTCTAGATCATCTAGATCTAGATATTCTAGATCATCTAGATCTAGATATTCTAGATCATCTAGATCATCTAGATCTAGATGTACGGAAAAACTAGACCTACACAGATGTAGACCCTACCTAGATCTAGAATCTATTCAAATAATACATTTCTATATTAAGTTATTTCAGGCCTTAATTACTTTATTGAAATCTTTGTTTATCTATGCAATTTGCTAATCTCTATAATATATAAAGCAAAGTTGTCGGGTGCCCGACAGGGCACTTTCCAGCACCACAGGCGCTTCAAATTTGGCAGGATATTACCTTGGGGCGACAGAACACGGGGGCCAGTTGGCCGAAAAGTCTACGATGAGGGGGTCTAAACTGACCTCTACTGACCGGCGCCTTATATGAGCTATAAATCGAACAAAAATGTCCACGTAGGAACCTCTTATAACTCCTGAGGTCGTAGACCAACCCTCGGGCGAATTAATTAAGCATTCAAATTCTCAATGTTTTCGAAAGCCTAAGCAAAGCTGGGCAGCATGCCTAGTGATAACCATACTAGCCAAGGCCTACATTAAGAGATCTGAATAACTGGCCCAGTTACATCTAATTAATGTAGTACTGGGTCTAGCACATGCTCATTTAAGAAAGGAAGAAAAAAATATTGTGGCAAATTTACACATTTATTTTCAAGCCAAATTAACTAGAACCAGCTAATTTAGTAGTGTCTGGTTGGTTAAAGACCTCTAGTTTTTACTATTATTGTTAAGTAGTATTGATGCCTATCTTGGGGATAACGCCGGTTGCTAACAACAATATGGCGTCCATAACGGACGCATGACTTCTGATTTTTTTGTCTTAGTTCCATTGACCTTCTTAGAATTACTTTTTAAAAATGTTTACCACAGGCAAAATGGCAAGTTTTCATGTTATTATAATAAACTATAGATCTAGGTGGCAGGGATATAATGCCTGGAAAGCGTTTCAAAATTTCCTTTGGAGAATGAAGGCTAAATTTAAAAGTTGGTTTCATTAAAAATAATAGAACTTTTTAAATATCAATTACCAGAGTACAAAAATGAACATCTAGTGTAGCATTATTAGATTTTTTAAAAAAATCATCGGCTACGTTACACTACTCATACTATTTTTAAGAATTTTTTTTTTTTTAAAGAAATTGACAAATTAAAAAAAAAAACTTCGCCTCAAAATTCAATGTATTAGGCGACAATGAAGAATCACAAATAGGAATTGTTCTAAACCAATGTGAACTCAGTGACCCCTCGACCTTGTCAGGATTTTTTCCCCCGCTCACAGGACAATGAGAGAGGTGACGATTTTAGAAATAGCATATTTCTTGAATATTTTTTAAACATCTAGATTTTATTTAGTAATATTTAGGCATAGAAGAACTTTTTTTTTTAAAAATACGAACCGTGATTGATCTAGGTGGGCCTAGATATAGTTGGTTAGTAAAAACTGTTCTCGCATATCTCAAACAACATGCCTTGATATATTGTGTCTCGCTACTTACCGTTTATTCAGCAGGTACATTTCGCCCATTCATGTTTTACCCACTCCCAGATAATTTTGTAAATAAATAGAAAACTACGCTTGTTTAGGCCTCTCTTTTATTATTTAAACCTCAGATTTATTTATCTTGAAAAAAAAAAGAGAAGATCTAGAAGTAGGTTTAATTTTATTCGAGATATTTTCCATGCGCGACCACACTTTCAATGATTTAGTCCACATACTATTTCTTTTTTCTCTACGGACAACACCGGCTCATATGGTAACCCACTTGTGGGGTCAACAGTTCACAATATAGACCCAAAGACTGCCGCATGCCATGACATAGGATAGGTGGGAAGGTGGTTGTTACGGAAGATACTTGAAACAGCAGAACCGGATAACAGTGAAATTTTAAATAGCTAGATTCTAAATATAAAACTCAGATTGGGAATATTAAGTTACCACTAAAAAAAAAAGCTTAAGTCTAAAAGTTGATTTTGATCTCTACTGAAGGCAAAAGCACAACCTTTGCGGCATAATTGTAATTCCATAACCTGGGTGTCAAAATCATAAAAACCGTACAAGTAGGCAGTCCTGTAATAGGGGCCTATAATATATGCAGGTAACAATAAGTGTCAAAGTGAAGAAGGCATCTGATGGGTTTGATTAGTTTGAACTACTATTGAACCCACACCATCTCAGCACATCAGCCACCCACTCGATCCCACAACGTCATGCTTTTTTGGGTGTTTTAAAAATTAAACCTATCAAAAATAGTCACGACTGTAAATAGCGCTAATATTCCTAATATAATACGGCTATGCCCGAGCAAAAGCCGAGGCCCGAAAGAGAAACAGAAGCTACGAGCGATGAAACGGAAAAAATGAAAAATTTTAAAATAGAACAGAAACTCGAAAGTAAATTGTGTTATTTCGCTTGTTCTTTACGTCATTTTTTCCAAGCTTTTAAAGTTTAAACTTTATCAAAGTAAGAACATTTTAATTTGATTAAAACAAGTTTGCCCTAGTTTTTAAACTGAAAAATAACATTTTAACAATTTTTTTCTAACCTGAAAAAACTTTTGAGGTTTTTCAGACCACGACGACGATTGAAAAGGAAATAACCTGTTAGGTTACTCTTCCGGGTCAATTTTCACCATTCCCCATCATTCTTGATTAGAGAGTGTTTACCTTGGATTTTAAAAAGAGTGATTCCCCATTAGTTTATAATCTCTAAGCAACACGCATTTTAGATCACTGAAGTGTCATAAAGAAATAATTTAAATAAGAGTGCGTAATAATGACATAACTTTTGTGTTATCGACATACATGTGAATTATTCCATAGGCAATCTACATAATTAGTGAACAAAAATACAAAAGAAAAATACTTATGAAAAGTAACTGAACAAGTCTAATCTAGTCTAGTCACTTTAAGCTTAAGGCTTAAGGTTTATCGCATTTTTAGAATATATTAATATTAAATATAAGCCTAGATCTACATAAAATAGTCATCGAATTTTAAAATTGAAAAATGACAGCTAAAGAAGAATATAAATTTCTATTCAAAATTGTAATTGTTGGAAGTGAAAATGTTGGCAAAACGTGTTTTCTAAAAAGGTGAGTGTTTAAAATCTTTATAAAAACTAATCGAGAAATCAAATATATATATATAGATCTATATATATTTTAATTTTTATTTTTTTATTTTTTATTTTTGTGACATACATTTTCTTCTAATATTTAAAGCCCAAATGGATTCTGGGGCTCGTCTTGTGTGTGAGTGACATGCATATAGTAAAAATCTCGACTTGATAGCCATAGTGTAATATTCTTAAAAGATTAATTATAAAAATTAGGCCTAATGATTTAAAAAATTAATGTAGATGGTTTTGTAAAAAAAAATGTTTCATTTTCCAAAATGTATAATTTTAATTAACGTCATGTGAAATAAACAAAATCAAAGAAAATATATCATCCTTTACAAAAATTTATAAAAGTGTACACATTACTTCCCTTTGTTCATTTAGTACCTATTACTTTCCTTGATGGATAAAAAACACATTAATTCCCTTAAAAAATACTACATCGGGGAGAAAAAAAATACTTTCTATTTGTTTGTTTTGGTGTTGGAAAAAAATAATTATACTATTTGCATGGCTCGATAAAGTGCAACGTGGTAGGTAAAACGTGGATATTTTAAATACGGCCTTTTATTTATTTTATACACTGAACGTACTGTTTACTAAATATTTTTTAAATCAATAACGGTTTATAAGCCGCTCCTAAATGTCCTCTATGCTTATTGTTAACTTCTATCTTTCCGTTTGCGGACAAGCTGGGGGTATTATAGTCGTTCACTAAATTGAGTCAGGCACCCTGTGCTGCTATCCTGTGTGCGCTTAAGTGCAGTTTTCATTTTTAAAGAGTGTGATAAGCTTTGGTAAAAAAGGGTTACTACAGTCGTTCACTAAATCGAAACCGGGCGTTCTCCGGCACCCCGACAGAGTGCTATTTGGCGCCCCTGGTCTTCCGTGAGCGCTATGGCGCCTACGTTCGTTTAAGTGAGTGCAATATGGATAAGTTGTTGTATTATAGTCGTTTACTTAGTTGAATCAGGCGGTTACGCCGGTGCACCGACAGGGTGCGGTTTGGCGCCTTGGGCTATAGTGTGAGCACTATGCGTTTATGTTTGCATTTAAGTTTGTGTTTATGTTCTGCGTTATTGTTTTGCGAATAGGTTTGCGTTTGGGTTTTTATCTGCATTTGTATTTGTGTTTGAAAGAAACACTGGCTCCATCCATTGCCCCATTGTTCCAAGACTCATCTCTTTTATTGCTCTGTTTAACATGACATTTTATTCATTGTAGTTATATCTAACGGCAATTTTTGCATAATCCATATCTAACAAAACACTTCTTATAGCAACTATATTTGACATTTTTAAATCAACTATATCTAACATTGCCATTCTACATCGTCTATATCTAACATATTACATCTATTACATCAACTATATCTAATATGACATTTCTTACGTCATCTATATCTAACCTGGCAATTATTGTTACATCGTCTATATCTAGCATGACATCTCTTCTATTAGTATATCTGCCATGACATGTCCTATATAGTCTCTGAGATGACACCTCTAAAACTGTCGATATAAAAGTTTGCATGGAAACTAATGAGTAGTAATTTGTAGATTTGCAGACAATATGTTTTACGAAAGCTACATAGCAACTATTGGTGTTGATTTTTGCATCAAAGCAATCAAATCAAAAGAAGGGGATTCAATCAAACTTCAGGTAAAAATAATTCTACAGACAATGTTTTTTTTTATTTAAACGATAGCTTACGTTCCATAAGGTCATAATCGAAGTTGACCACTCTTCTCTTTTCGAACGCACACCCGAAAGCTTGAGCTCGGATCACGGCCTCCAGAAAGTAAATGCGGCTGGGCATAGTGCTAGTAAAGGCGGCTGGGCATAGTGCTAGTAAAGGCGGCTGGGCATAGTGCTAGTAAAGGCGGCTGGAGATAGTGCTAGTAAATGCGGCTGGGCATAGTGCTAGTAAAGGCGGCTGGGCATAGTGCTAGTAAAGGCGGCTGGGCATAGTGCTAGTAAAGGCGGCTGGGCATGGTGCTAGTAAAGGCGGCTGGGCATAGTGCTGACCACACTATCCCTTCAAATGCTAAGATCACTGAAACAGGTGAACTGTACCGTCTATAAGGTTTGAACGGATACTTTTAAAATTCTAAAGTTTTTATTTAGTTCACAACAATTTCGACCCACTTCTAAAGTATCGATTTTGTTCAAACTTTCCAGATACATATTTGTCTTTGACGACAATGTAAAGACATTTAAATTTTAATCAGTTAGACATTAGAATAGTCAATAAAAATGTAATTAAAAGATTAGTAAATTCAATAATGAAAGGGGAAATAACAAGATTAAGTACTAAGTACTAGCGATCGCCTGAGCAGCTACCAGTGACGTGTTTTTTCACGGCTGGTTTTTTTTCCTGAGCGTCAACTGCGGACTAAGAAGGGTTATTGTCTTTTAGAGAATGCAAGCTACTAATTGTGTTTCGAAGCCAATATTTTTAGTCGTAGCCCCTTTGTGGTATAATGAGACGGCGAGTATGAATCCGGGTTCAAGTCAGTTCAACGTCAATATAGAGTCCACCCAACTCTGCTATATACCTAACTCATGTTAGGGAAAGTAAAGGCGGCTGGGCAAAGTGCTGACCACACCTTACCTTCATATGCTTTCATATGCCGAGGTAAAGAAACATAAGAACTCTGCTTTATCTGCCCCCAATGGATCGCTATGTCTATAGAGGATTCTTTACTTTTTAAAAATTCTAATTTTTCAGTGTCAACTTAATTTAGAACGAATTATTATATGGAAAAGAAAAAAAAATATAATATTTATATATATATAAATTAAAAAGATAAAAATAAAAACTTAATAATTATTAATTATTATTAAACTTTTAAACGCACTGAAAATAAGAACATCAAACTAATTTAGTGATTTGCTTTCTTTAATTAAAGCATTGGTAAGCTCGTGAAATCACCTACACATTTTGGTTGATCTTGGTCTATGTTCTATGATTTCATATTGTCCGTTTAATAATTTCAATGACTCTTATTTGTCCCAGATTTGGGACACGGCCGGGCAGGAGAGATTCCGGACAATAACTACCTCCTACTACAGAGGTTCTCACGGGGCCCTGGTCATGTATGACGTCACCAACAGAGAATCGTTCGCCCAGGTGTCGAAATGGCTGGACGAGCTGCGGGAGGTGATGAGCGGAAAAGAAGCGGTACGTGGCACGTCAGAAAATATCATTGTTGGCCTCTTGTGCTGGCATGCACCATTAGATGATTAAATTTAAAGACTACTGTGCAGTGATTGCTTCAGGCATTTTTGTCCGAGGGAGGGGGGGATTGCTTCGTGGAGGCAGTGCCCCCACCCCCACCCCGAAAAAAATTCTGAAAAAAACTCTGCTTTTATCCCGACCACTTTACCACGTACCCCCTCCCCACCCCCCCCCCCACTCCCCCGCGGAAAATTTCTTGAAAGAAACTCTGCTTTTATTCTGACCACCTTGCCACGGTTTCCCCACCCCTACCTCGAAAAGCTTCCTGAAAGAAACTCTGCTTTAATCCCTACCATCTTGCCATCTGGTTCCCCGTGTAGCCTCTTCGCAATGCCAGTTTCAAAAGGCATGTTTTTTTTAAAATGTTTTTTTTTTACCGCCTGTGTTAAAATTGTTTACCAAGTCTGTCTTATGATGTAATGAAGTGGCGTAGTGGAGCGCACGACAGCTAACCCGAAAGTCTAGAGTTCGTATCCCGGACTCGAGACTGTTGGGCGATCTCCCATCAGCTTCGATGGGTACCTGACTGACGTTAAAGAAAGTGAAGGTGACTGGGCTTAGTGCTGACCACACAATCTCTTCATATGCCGAGGTCACTAAAACAGATGAACTCTGTCTACTTCACTTGCCCCATGGAAAGGCAGGTCTCAACATGGAACTTTACTTACTTATTATATTGTGGTCGTATTTACTAAAATGTTATAAAAATCGCCATGGCTTATTCTTAGATTATACTGGTGGGGAACAAAGCAGACGATAATGGGTCAAACAGGCAGGTCAGCACGGAAGAAGGGACGAAACTGGCCGCAGAGAGAAACATCAAATTCTTTGAGTCCAGCGCGAAATGTGGGAAAAATGTGTCCGAAGTTTTCCAGGTTTGTATAGTATAGAATCTATACTATGGTATAAATAACATAAATCAGATTATATATCTACTTTTTAAAAATAATTAAAAGAATTTTCAACTACTTTTTAAAAATAATTAAAAGAATTTTCAACCTTTGAGCTACTTTTAAAATCAGATTCTAGAACATTATTATTGGATTAAAAAAAAAAATTTCATGCAAAAATTGTACTCAGGGTATGCGTATAATTACTAGTAATGATCGTGTTATACACTACAATGAGGGATCGGGTCATTACATATTTATGTTAAATTCTACACATTTAATACATTTTTCCTCAGGATTTATGTGACCAGCTGATAGTGACCCAAAGAAATTTGATTGGAGGAAGCGCCCCTGAGCCTGTTAAAAGTTCTATGTCGAAACCTGTCAGCGAAATAAAATTGTTTCAAAAGTCTAACGGGGAAAAGAACGGAAAAATCGTACTACACGAAGGTGGTGGGAAAGAGAAAAAGAAAAAATGCTCGTTGATATAAATATTAAATTTAATACATAAAAACATGAATCTCAAAAATAATAAACGCTCAATGTATAGACTACTGGACTACTGGACTGACAATCATATTTATAGAAACAGTACTGGCCAGTTTTATGATTATAGAAATGTTGTTAGAAAGTGGGTGTAGCCAAACGCAAAACGAAGAAATAAGGAGGGATAGTACCAACAAAATAAATATTTGAAGGTTTGAAAGACTCACAAGAGTCTCGAGTTAACAAAATTATAGCCAAACATTTACTAAATACTGCATACATTCCTACTAAATATTAAGTCTTCATACATCCCTTTAGACTCAGATAACCTCGATACCTCACTAACCTCGAAAAATGAATCAAACAGAGGAAAAAACTTATTCGACAAACCTTAAATTAAACTTTAATTTAAAGAAAGATTCAATTTTACTGTAGTAAAGGGGATATATATATATATATATATATATATATATATATATATATATATATATATATATATATATATATATATATATAGGTCATCCATAAATGACGTCACGCTTTTTTTGACGATTTTTACCTCCCCCCTCCCCTCCGTCACACGTCGTCACAAAAAGTCAGACCCCCCCTAAAATGACGTCACACATCAACCTACAACCCCCCTCAAAATTGCAGTTGAATTTTTTTAAAACATCGATATTTTTCCAAAATCTTGTCTAAACTATTAAAACATTTATTAAAACAGTTATCTAAAAGGCAAAATAACGTCTAGAATTCGTTTTCTAACATTGCTTTTTTATAATGCAAAAATGTGACGTCGCAACATCTGAACTCCCCCTCATCACACATCGTCACAAAATTACGGACCCCCCTCCCCCCTACGAGTGTGACGTCATTTATGGATGACCCCATATATATATATATATATATATATATATATATATATATATATATATATATATATATATATATATATATATATATATATATATAAAACTATGTATATATACATATATAAGGCATTATATGTGTATAGGCGTATATATAGTAATATATAGGCTTATAATATATATAAAGTCTGTATATATAACCTATATATATATATATATATATATATATATATATATATATATATATATATATATATATATAAAATGCCTATGTATGCCTGTATATGATTTAACTATACGGGTCATTATGGTCAACAAGAACCTAAATTATCTTGTAGTGTTTGGCCGTTTAAAACTATTTTTAATTTAAATTTTAAACCATACTAAACATTCAAAACCTATCACTATCACTTATTAAAATATTTCATAACAATATGATGCATTGCGTGTTTTTTTTTAACTGTGTTCATTTATGGCCAGTTATTACGGTTAAAATGGAAAGCCGTAGTATAACATGAATCACATATGAGCTTTGTGTTCACCTAGAAAATCGATTTTATTCTGTTGTGAGCGAAGGAAGACTTAACGCGGGAGTGGTCTTTCCTAATTTTCCTTGTAATCTATCTATCTATTCTATATATATAATTCTCTTCTGGGAGCCGTTAGAAAACAAGCTGCAAGCGCCTCCTTGCTGTCCCCTCTCTTTCTCTCTATCACTATCACTACCACCCCCACCCCACCCCCACATTGTCTGGTGAGCTGTGTTCACTCTAAATGTTTACAAGCAGAGTCGGGTTTAGTGACGGCTATTAGGGGCAGATAATTTAGTTTGAAACGATTTTATACGTGGGGGGGGGGGGGGGGGGAGGGGGGGGGGGGAGGAAGGGGGGTTATGGTCCTTAACGTGCTACTTATAGTGTTTTAAAGAAATATTTTCAGTGGCAGTGTTGGTACCGTCGAATTCACAAATTATGAATTACTGATAAGTAGAAAAAACAACTAAATAGCGGCGTATGTTATGCCGCGGGCCGGCTCGTTTATATAATTCTCTTCTGGGAGACGCTAGAAAACAAGCTGTAAGCGCGCCTTACAGTCCCCCCTCTTCCTCTCTATCGCTACCACCCCCCACCCCCTCACATCGTCTGATGAGCTGTGGTTCACGCTGTTTACATTTTACAATCATAGATACGGGTTTGGTGACGGCTATTAGGGGCATAATTTAGTTTGACACGATTTTAAACTTAGAGGAGGTAACTTTCACGTGGGGGGGGGGGGGGGGTTAGTGTTTTTAAGCAAATATTTTCAGTGGCAGCTTTGGTACTGTCGAATTCACAAATTATAAATTACTGAAAAGTAGAAAAAAAAACAAGTAAATAGTGGCGTATGATACGCAGCGGGTCGGCTCGTATATATAATTATCTTCTGGGAGACATTAGAAAACAAGCTGCAAGCACCTCCTTACAGTCCCCTCTCTTTCTCTCTATCACTACCACCCCTACCCCACCCCCACATGGTCTGGTAAGTTGTGGTCACGCTAAATTAAATGTTTACAAATCGTAGAGCCGGGTTTAGTGACGACTATTAGGGGCAGATAATTTAGTTTGAAACGATTTTAAACTTACAGGAGGTAACTAAGAGGAGGCTGCTTTCACGGGGGGGGGGGGGGGTGGTAGGGTCGGGGTTAGGGGAAAGGGGGGGGGGGTTAGTGTTTTAAAGCAAATATTTTCAGTGGCAGCATTGGTACTGTCGAATTCACAAATTATGAATTACTGAAAAGTAGAAAATAAAACAGCTAAATAGCGGCGTATGATACGCTGCGGATCGGCTCGAAGCAAATAATAACTTAAAGTTGTATTTATATGTAAACTGTCAACCTAAGGTGCAGGAGTTTGAAATGAATGTCAAGTTAAGCAACGAATTATCTCCCATTTAAAAATTCAAATGCCAAAATTTTATTAAAGGTAAATAACTGTCACAAGAATAGCTAAATGAGCCATGTGTAACTAAGACATGCTTAAAATTCACACAAAAAACGCTCTGAATCTCATTACTTAATCATTATATCAAATCTTTTGTATTAACTATGTAACCTATGAAAACAATCTATATTTACCTATTGAATACTTAACAGCAGGTTTTGCTTGAATGTCTAAAAGCTGTAGCTTTATTACAACATACTTCTATTTAAATTTGATGACATTCGTTTTAAATCGCTTAGTTTGCATTGATGGGTGATAGATCAATAGAATATTTTAAAATTTTGGATCCCTATATTTCAAGGTAGCGTGCCTTCACCGCCAAGGGTCAATTTAATGTCATGGAAATTTTTGGAATGATAGATCAGTATGAGTATTACAGAGACACTTATCCCACGGTCGTTTCTATTTCTGTCCATGGGTGTCTACAATGTGAACTTTTGACTCCACAGCTAACGACTGAGCACAGTAAACTAAGCAGTCAAGAGAAACCGAGTTTGCACACCTTATTTTAGTCTAGTCTTATGCCATTTTATTTTCTCTCTTTGATTATTATATATGCAAGTGATGTTCATATCTTTGATGCTGTGTAAAACTATCAAACAAGTTATTATTACTGATTTAAATGTTTAAAACAATTGATTAAAAAAAACAAAAAACAAAAAAAAAAAAAGAAAAAAAAATAATTGAGGACTGTATAGATATAGATGTTTGAAAGGGAAGAATGTGTTTGCTTTGATGTGTCTTGTTGTAATAACATAACTTTTCCGATTGCTTAAAATTTGTATCACTTTAATTCTCTGTAATCACAAATTTATTTCAGCACTACTTAAAAACCCAAATTACACCCCGCCCCCCCCCCCCCCTCACCCACCACGCCGAGGAAAAAAAAATCCCTTGAATCATCATTTAATTACACATTTGCATTTTCAGGTTGTTTTTTTTTATTTATTTTTTAAATTTTTTTTTTATATTTAGGCGTTTTGTATTAGATCTATGTATAAGTAAACCATCTTAAATGGATGAAAGTAGGCTACAAGTAAGAAAGAAATATTACTATTGTAAATCTATAACAGTCCTCACAAGCCGATGATGAAAACTGTAATACTAAAGCGAACACACAACTGACGCTGTAAATTACATGTCTGAGGCAAAAAATAATAAAAAAATAATATAAAAAAATAATAATAAAAAAAATTTGGATCCCTTAAATCAGTGGTTCCCAAACTTTATCGAGAGGCGACCCACTTTTATAAAAAGTAAGTAACCCGCGACCTCCATAGAATTAAAATGTCGAAATTAGTTAGGAAATTAATAACCACTAAAATACGATTTTCTAGTAGACTTTCAATATGAATCAATATAAGATCTATATAACTTTTAATACGATGGGTAAAATTGCATGCCATTCACTTGCCTCAACATTCAATGTTGAATATTAATTTTGTTAACGCCAACCTCTTGTCTTTCTCAGCATTGAATTTATTTCGTTGTTTTGTTTTTAGTTGGAGAGGTGTTGAAAATCTATTCTCGCAAATATATGTAGACACTAGACACAAAAGGAACTAAAACTCAAAAGACAATCGATTTCATTTTGGGTATAATTGGTGCATACTACACCAAAATTTTTGAGCAGTTTTTCCTTTAACACGGTACGTGAGGCTGAATCATTTCGCAAATTTAAGATTCATCTTGTAATTTACCGTGAATGCTGGCAACATCAAGGTATTAGAGGGTGGGTCACGTGACAATGCTGATTCTTCTTCTTTCAGCTCAGCGTAATAACACCGCAATTTGTATTCAAATTTATTTTTATTTATCTCATAATCAGATTCATCTACCACAATGCAGTTTCTCAAACATGGCAATGTTTCCAATATTCATTTTTCTTCGCCAAATCTGCAGCTTTGATAAAAATGCCAAGAGATTATTATGAAAAGAGATAATATTCGTTCATTTTCAGGTTAAGCTTATGTTGCTGTTCGAATATATCTGCTAGGTATGCTACTCTCTCCAACCACTCTTTGTCGTTAAAGTATATCAAAAAGTGTTGTTTCCCTTGCACTTCCAAGAACAACTTGATTTCATCTCTCAATTCAAAAACACGATTCAAAATATTTCCTATTGATAACCAACTTACTGTAGTGTAGAACCTCGTGATCTTTATTTATGTCTTTGCACAGTTCTTGAAACAGACGGGCTCCAGATCACCGGTGAATCATGCAATGTATTCCCCTTGGTTGGGGAGCTAAATCTTTTAGTTTTTTCTGAAAACCCCATTTAGACCTAAACACAGATGACTCACCATCCGTACAAACCCCACAGCCGTTTTCCCATTTTAATCATCCAGTTTCAAAAAGCGTATTTATTTACTCAATGATAACTTCACAAAATAGCAACTCTTCTTTGCTATCATCTGAATGAATGTATTTTACAAAGACAAGCGGCTGCTAACACGCAAACAATGGTGAAAGCTTGATTTCATTCAAAATTTATTTTGACATGTCTGCTAAATGCCGCTGATTAGCATCATAAGACAGAGATATGTGTAGAGGAGAATACAGAGATATGTGTTGCATCTTTACTGCACTGGAATCCGGCCCCCGTTTTAGACATTACTAGAATAGTTGATTAACTATTTTAAAAAAAAAAATAAAAAAAAACAACAACACGAAGTTAACGGTTAGTTATAAATTCCATCCTATTTAATATTATATATAAATACTTTTAGAGTGGTAATATCGATTCCTAAAAAACTAAAGATTTTTCAACTAGAAAACGCCTACCTTTCTTTGTAGTGTGTTCCATACTGAATTGAAATAATCTAACTTACGATAAACTCGACTACTCGATATACTCTTCTACATTCACAAATTCATATCAAACTTAGATACATAAACATAACTAGACTCGATGCTCCAGAATTACGACACAATCTCGCTTATTAACTTCACCAAGCTCTACAAACGGTACTCCCAATCAACAACGATTTCACTGGACCTACCACTACTTTAACAGTCAATATAATAAATTTGATACCTTAATACCTCAATAATCAATACTCCCAAACTCCAGAACTACGATACTTCATCACATGCATTATCATTTCTCTATTACCAATCAGATTCCACTAGACCTTTAACTACACAACAGCCAAATAAAAAATACGACACTTTAACACTTCGATACTTTATACCTACGAAACCATATCAGCAACATCCTTCCACCGTTACTCACAAATCTGAACGATTCAGCAAAACTTACCAAACAAGTAATACTTTGAACACCCCGTCAATACAAAATTATGTACACCAGGACAGATTTCTAATTCAAAGTAAGAGAAAACGAGACTTACAAGCCTTATTAAAATTAAATAACCGTTTGAAATATTCGAAATTTAAATAACGAACTTATTTCATCGTTTTCTACATCAATTGTGTGACACCAAATTAAAAAGGCAAAGTGACTGGTAAAAAGCGCCCCGACCTTTTCAAATTAGGGATGTGGGGGTTGCATTATCGCGAATAAATATAGGCCTATATAGACCTAATTTTGGGGTAGGGGTGCACAATTAATAGTTCGTCCTGGGTTCTACCAATAGATCGCTACTCCTTTATAAAAGTTATTAATTGTTAGGTACTTTTTTAAAAATAGCGATTAAACATTTTGCGCCCCCTCCCCTAGGGATGGCACCCATTGGGGAATGTCAGGCAGTGTTTCTTCCAGACTTTTTTGGGGGGGGGGGGGGGGGCGGACACTGTTAAAAGTATATATTTTCGATATAAATTATATAAATTTCATTTCGTTCGGAGGGGGGGGGGGGGCTTCATGCCTGGAAGAAACTCTGATGCCAGGGCCTTGATCTTTTGGCGTTTCCACCCATGGCGACAGAGTAGAAGGCACACAAATAGTTGAAAAGGCTCTGCATGTGATCAGCATTATTACCAAGCATTATCTACAGCAGGGGTTCCCAACCTTTTTTTTTTACTCTAGAGCATATTCTAAAATATCGGTAGGGTGGTGGGCACCACCTATTTTAAATCGACAAACATAATTTGTCATTTTTCCATAATTTATTTTCTTATTTTCTTATAGTCTTAATCAGTGGCGTAGGCAGGGGGGGGGTTAGGGGGGGGGTCATAACCCCCCCCCCCCATAGACCCCTCGGTATATATAAAAAGTATGAGGGGGGGTGCAAATCGAAAGTTTGAGGTGGGGGTGCAAATCGAAAGTTTGAGGGGGGGGGGGGTGCAAATCGAAAGTTTGAGGATGGGGGGGGTGCAAATCGAATGCAAATCGAAAGTTTGAGGGGGGGGGGGGTGCAAATCGAAAGTTTGAGGGGGGGGGGTGCAAATCGAAAGTTTGAGGGGGGGTGCAAATCGAAAGTTTGAGGGGGGTGCAAATCGAAAGTTTGAGGGGGGGTGCAAATCGAAAGTTTGAGGGGGGGGGGTGCAAATCGAAAGTTTGTCCCCGGGTAAAAATTGGAACCCCCCCCCCTTGAGACGATCCTGGCTACGCCACTGGTCATAATGTATTAATACATAATAAACAAAAACACCTGATCTAAAGGATCTAGTTCATCCACTTGGTACATGGCAACACTACAATGGTGTGTTAAGAAAAACAGCGGTCAAGAAAAACCAAGAACAAAAAAAAACAACAGCAATAAATCAATCGTTGGTATTGATTACTACCAGCTATGTTTTGTGTAGTCAAATGCCGTAATGTCGAAACTGAAGAAGTGAAATTCCATTGTTGCCCGTATTGTAGAAAGTGTGTTTTTCCAGGTTTAATTTTGTTAGTTTGGAAGTCTATTTGATGCAAATGAAATTTAAAAAAAATTAAATAAAAAGGCAACTCCGTTTTTACCCGTTTTAAATTTGGGTGTGGAAAAATAATTACATTTACATAGCCTACATAATTTCGACAATACGGGCTTTTGTGCAATTTCAGCAATGTTTAATCAGCATGGGCTGATCCCATGATATCGATTAGATTAGAACATTCAGCTCAGATTTTAAGCCCACAAAACCTATAGATCTGATCTTCAGGGAAGACAATTTTTTTTTACATTTTTTGGACGCCACAAAGGTAATGAACTAGAATCGTCACCAGATTCCACCCCACCCTTCGCTCATGTCATTTATGGACGACCCCTCAGAGTCAAGATGAGGTTCAGAAACTTTTTTGAGTCCTACCGATATTGCATTTATTTCTGTAGAAAAAAAAACCGATGTGTTAAGGTACCATTGAACTGTGTTAAAAGTTTAACATTATTAATAAATTGTAAACAGTAAACACATATTGGCCTACCAACGCATACACCCACGCACATAACCAAGCACACATCTATACACTGGCGTACAAAAACAAACATTAATAAAACTAACGAAAAAGCACTAAAAAGCCAATGATATTATTACAATTTTTCTCATAACTACAAGAAACTAATCCATAGCTGGAAAAGGGGGAGGGAGTTACAATAGTAACGAAGGGGAAGATTAGCGTCACTCTTCCTAACCTAACAACAACGGGCTGTATGCCTATGTTGTTCCTTGTAAACCAATGTAAGCTAACTCTTTTATATTCAAAGGAACAAATATTGCATAAATACCGCTTCCTGTGATTCAGTAGTTTTCGTTTTATACAACAAAGCATTTTGTCACTAGATCCTTAGGTACATGTTTATTTTTAAACGCTTTCTAGATTAGATAGATCAATTAAAATGTTATATTTTAAATTCTAATTACTTTTCGAACTAACGACCCTTTATTGAAATATCAGTAAGACAGATATTTGAAAACTAAAATGAAACCCATTGATTTTGATGTACACTGTGACTAGTTCACTAGTCTACCTACCAATAACCAGTTAACGATAGCTCAACTCAGGACTGAGCTCTAGACTAAACTAATCTAAACTAAGGCCTACACATTTAAAGTAAAACTTATAAATTCTAGGCTTAAATACATAAAGTAACTAATTTATAATCTAAAATAGGCCAAATTAAATTAATTAGCCTAAAATTATAGGCCTAATTTCATAATGCTAGGCCAGTCTCAACTGGGCTAACAAACATTTCAACATTTCATTTGTAAATTGTTTTACTCACTTTTACTTTACAACAACAACAATCAAATTCTTAGCTTAAGCCATGTTTTAAAGCTTATAACCACCTAAAGTTCATACTTAAGCTTTTTAAAATTAAATTTTTTTTTCATGTTTTACAGATAAAAGATGGAAAGGCTTCTGAGTCTTGGCAGTAGGGTTCAAGGTTTGGGTCAGGTAGGTCCCAATGACATTTGTCACTGCCATGTATTATTTGATATTATTTGATATTTGAAAAAATTCCCTGTATTGGGTAAAATGCAAGTGTTTACTTCTTCCAATGAAAAAGACAAAATCTGTGCCAAATAGTTAAATGTAGTATCGTCATAGTATTGAAATTGTTAATTGATTTAAGCCAAACTGTCTTTAGTGCATTCATTTCCATTTTCAACTTAGTTTATTTAAAGAAGAATTTTCAAAATTTAGCTGAACTACTTTAAATTGAAATATTCGGTACTTGAGCATCTGATAGGGTTATACACTACATAGTCAGTTCTGTTTCTCTGACACTGAATCTATATGCAGTCCCCCTTATATCTACTTAAACAGTTTTGTGTGTTGCCATTTACTGCTATAGGCACATTTACTTCATGTATTTCATGCTTCTCTATTCCATTCTGATTGAATGTTTACAAAAATTTAAAAGCAATTGCTCACAAAAATTATACAAAAAAAGTTATCTGGGTCTGAGGTACTTAATTAATCATTTAAAGCTCCTAAAGAACAAAGGGCTACTGTTACACCTCTCCACCAGAGTCTGTTTTGGGAACTCACTTTATTTCAACACATGTAAGCCCCACAGCCATTGCTTCTCCTTCCAAGCTGCTCCCGGGTTTTTGGGTCAGAAGTATTTGGGAACTGAACTTGAAATAATACCCAGGGTTGAGGGAATAGAGAGCAGAATGTAGGTTGAGTCTGTACTGTTTATTAAACAAGTACATTATTGACTTGAATACATGTTAAGACTTTTTTCTTCTTATTCATAGGGTAGCCCTCCTACCGATGCTCCAGTTGTTGATACAGCAGAACAAGTTTACATTTCATCTCTTGCTCTGTTAAAGGTAGATTTTGTGTGGGGAACATTATATGTTTACCAGTGTATTCATCTTTATTGCAAATGTTAATTTAAAAAAAAATCCATTTAATGGTTTTAGAAAAGTGAATGGTGATATAAGTATTTTAGCTAGAAAAAAAAAGGGTTATATCATTGTGAAGGTTAGGTATATTTCACTGGTACTTTATTCCACATATACTACACCTTTCATACATTTTTCATCACCACAATCACATATTTGTATTTTATTAAACTTTTCATTAACCGTCTCATTTTATTTGTTAACATAGATGTTAAAACATGGACGAGCTGGTGTTCCGATGGAAGTCATGGGTTTGATGTTGGGAGAATTTGTTGATGATTACACTGTTCGTGTCATAGATGTCTTTGCAATGCCACAGTCCGGGACTGTAAGTCTATTAATAATCTTGTTTGTATAATGATGTTTGATTTTGTCATTTAATTTACCCGCCGTGGAAAGTATTTGCTGTGTGTCAGTGTGTGAACTGTTTGGTAGATTTGCTTTTGCATGCGATGTGTGATCATCAGCTAGATATTTTAATTCTATATAATATGACATTTTTTTTATTACTTTATTTCAAAAATACACATAGAATTTTTAAAAGAATTAAATAACAATAACTCGGCTCTAAAATATTATTTCTGCTATTAATTAATACTTTAGGGTGTGAGTGTAGAAGCTGTTGATCCTGTGTTTCAAGCAAAAATGTTAGACATGTTGAAACAAACTGGAAGGTAAGTTGTGTTATAAGGATTTCATATTTGAAATGTTGTTTTAATAAAATGGCTATTAAAAATTGTTAAAAGTATATTAGTTCATTTTTTATGCTTATATAAAGAGACTTCATTTTTATAATCAATATCAGCATTTTAATAACAAGTGAAAGTATATTTAAAAAAAATAATACAGTTTATAGGGTTTGACAAGGAAATCTACATTTCAGTAAAAAAAATTCTACCATTACTATTTATATTGTTTTCACCTTTCTCTATTTCTCCCCGTCCCCACCAATTGTAATTAACTGAGCTGCCACATATTTTTAACAAAATGCTATTTAAACTATGACTCTAGGCCTGAAATGGTTGTCGGCTGGTACCACTCTCACCCTGGTTTTGGCTGCTGGCTGTCTGGTGTTGACATTAACACACAGCAGAGTTTTGAGGCTTTGTCAGAACGAGCTGTCGCAGTTGTTGTTGACCCCATTCAGAGTGTTAAAGGCAAAGTAAGTAACTCCTCTCTTCCTGTGCTTCTGTTTCCTATTTAAAATTAGCCCTAAACCTTGTTTTCATGTTATGGAATTTTGTTCTCCTTACCACTGTATTGTTCATAACATATAAATATTTTAAGTGCTCATTGTTGCTCTTCTTCTTTGTTCATGAATTTAGGTGGTAATAGATGCCTTCCGTCTTATCAATCCGAATATGATGGTTTTAGGTCAAGAGCCAAGGCAAACTACGTCAAATTTAGGACATCTCAACAAACCTTCTATTCAGGTTCTCCATTTTTTCAACACATTGATGCTTAGGGGTTTAGTACACACCTGTGTGAGAAGAGACTGGGAGGGGGTGGGGGGTTAAATTCAGGCAGGAAATTGAAGTATGCTCTCCATGCCATCCCTTTTTGTATCTATTGGGTTAAAATTGTCTAACAGTGTCACAACATTTACAACCTCTTATGTTGTCCTCTGTTTATATCCAACTGCCTGATTGTAGAGTTAGTATACTTAATTGATCTTGTGCAAAGCATTATTTGTTTCTGATAACTACGACTTATCATTTTATTTTTACTGTTTTTACAGCTATTTTTACTGTTAATAATTATTTACTTAATTTTTAAGACTTTATTAACCTTAAACAGCTATGATTTAATTAGCATTTGTCTATTATCTTTTAATTATATGTTAACAGTATTTTTTGTTTTTGATTTTTTACAGGCACTTATTCATGGGTTAAATCGACACTATTATTCCATTGCAATTAATTACAGAAAGAATGAGCTAGAGCAAAAGGTAACATTACAATTTTTTTTTGTTTCAGATTTGACTTTCCAGATCTTGTACATTTTTTTATTTGTGAATTTTTTCCCCCATTGATTTTTCTGTTACTTAACAGCATATAATTTTGGGCCTTGGCTTATGCTATTTACCCAGCGTCCTAATGGTACATGTTGTCTATCCAGCATACTAAATGGGCACTAAAAATGAATTTGCATTAGATTCATATATTTTTAGTTATGGGCCCTAAATCTAAGTACCCCTGTATGTTGTGGGTAGGCATTATTCAGTGGCAAAGAGGAAAAAATAAAACAATTATCTAAACATTTGGCTTTCAGCATAGATTGCTTAAAAATGTGTCATGATCTAAACATTTTCTTGATGTATTTAAAATGACTGTCTAAAATGTTTTCAGATGTTACTGAATCTCCACAAAAAAAGCTGGGTGGATGGCCTCCAGCTGCAAGACTACAGTGAGCATTGTTCACTCAATGAGAAGACTGTTGGGGATATGTTAGAGCTGGCCAAAAACTACCACAAGGTAACAGCATTTTTCTCATTCCTTAAGATCAATTTAAAATTAATTTTTTAAAATCATTATTTCAACATGTTGAAAAAAAAAGTATCTAAAACCAAAAAATAAAGGGGTACTCAGTTTACTTTGTTTACATATTTGCACCACCATTTTGCAACCTCTCGCCCACCCTTCAATTTACGCATAAAGTGGTGTTTTCTAATGCTGATTGTTTTTAGACTTAAGTTGCTGACACTGTTGTGAAACATCTATTTTATCCATTTTTTTTCTACCTGTCTTGAACACACTAAATTTCAGTGGAAAATAAACAGATGCTTAAATATATTTCTTGAATGAATATCTGGCTGATATATATAGCTTAGTCTCTTTTTACATTTTACTAATTTTTTTTTGAGATTACAGATTAAAAAAAAAAAATTTACCGCTTAAAATTTCAGGCATTGGAGGAAGAGGAGACTATGACCCCGGAACAGTTAGCTATCAAGCATGTTGGTAAGCAAGATCCAAAGAGGCATCTAGAAGAAGAAGTGAATGTCATCATGACTAAGAACATCGTCCAGTGTCTGGGGGCAATGCTGCACACTGTTGTATTCAAATGAAGTTTTATTTTATAATTTAATGTTTTGCGTTGCTGGTGTTGACTGAGTGGTAACTCAGCAGATTTGTAGCAGAAATTTTTTACTTTGACAACAGTGGTACGCCTAACATGTGGCTTAAAAAGTATTTAGCGTTATTTAATTTTTAACCTTTGAATATCATTGGAATTGATGATAAACAAAATGTTTAGACTATACCATAATGAGAGGAATTTATATTTATAAAACTGGTCAGTTTTGGAAATTTTTCATAGTACAATTCAGCATTTGTGCTTAAAATTATATGTACAGTAAATTTAGTAGAATTTCAGTTTTTAAAAAATCAGTGTATTTTTGTGGTTCTGGGAGTTGAGTGATTTTTGTGGCTGTTAATTTGCATGAAAGATGGTTGTTTGCCTGATTTATTACACAAAAGACTTATCCCAATAATCACCAAAAATTGTTATGTTGGAATGTCACTCCACTACATCTATCATTGTTTACAACGCATACACATCTAACTAAACTCTTATCCTGTGATTTTTTTTATATTAAATTTTAATTTTTAAACTGTTTTCACACTGCTTAACTTTCTGCAAGTTATTTTTTTAAACATTTAATTTATAAAAGTAGTGTAAATTGAGTTAGATCTATTTTAAATATTTATGAAATAGTATGCATACACTTCAAAAAAGTTTGTTGAAAAGTAAAAAGTGTGCTGTATTTATTTAGTTAGATAATTTAGCAACATAATACAACATCAACTCTAAGCTGTATTGTAACATCTCATGTCTAAATGGATTTGTTTGGGAAATACCTGATGCATTGTTTTTTTTATTAAAAAAAGTTTTTGGTTTCTATCATGAATAAATGATGTTCGAATTTTGTCGTTGTTGCATTTTCTTTATATATTAGTTTAAAAAATGTAAAGTGTGCTTTAAATATTTCAATAACAGAAAAATGTTTACTTCTACATTATTAAAACATACACTTGGTATATTGTATGCTTGGAATTTAAAATCAGTGGCTGAAGAAAAGCTTATTTGGTTATTTAAGTAAATGCTTCATGGTCATGGAAAATTATTAAATTTATTAAATTATAGCTTGATCCAATTGGTATTGATATTTGAAAAGAAAACCATTAAGCCTTTGATTATAATTATAATGCTAAAACCCTAATTGCCATGCTAGCTTAACATGCATACCTATTCTGATTTAAGAGTCATTTTATACCATTTTCTGCCAAAAATAATGCTACTTCTAGACTTATAATAACGAATGTGGGAAAACTATATTGTAGTGATTTTTTAGTGTCACTACTTTAGTTACTTTAGTCCTAACTTTAACCTGAACAGTGATACATTGAGACATATTACATAAAATGTGCTAAAAGTTTATGTTGTGAAACAGTAAAATCAATAGAATAGTGCAAGCTCAACATTTACAACAATTGTTCTTACAAGTTGTATTTCCTAAAAGCTGAATTTACTACTCAAATAGCTGGAATGCTGGTACCTTTAATGTATTTGCGCAGCATTTAAGAACATTTTTATTTTTAACCAAAATAATATAAAATGAAACATTCTATAGATCTAAAAAATATTAATATAGTCCATGGATTTCCAAAATATGCGAGATCTAGTAATAATAAAATAGTAATTAGAATTTTTAAATAATTTATATAGACTAGATTCTGGCAAAATATAATCTAGTTCTAGTTAAAAAATAATAATATTGATATTGTAGTTTAAGTTTTTTTGTTTCTGTACTTTTTAAAATTCACAGTTTTTGATTCACAAAAGGAAATTATTCTTTTCTAGTGTATTGTCACGCCCTCGCTTGTGGTTGTGTTAAAAATAAAACATTCCGGAGTAAAATTTATTATTTATTTTTAGGCTAACTGATTCCTTAAATAATTTAGTAACCCTGTGTTACTTGAGTACCCTAATTATCTTAAATCACGATTGTGCCGTAAATAAAAGTACTGAATATTTAGATATATGGGAAGTGATAGATTTAGATTTTAGATCGTAAGTCACATGATCAGGAAAGAAAAACACGGTGAGTGAACACAGAAACTCGAGAATGCTGGAGTTTTTTTTAAAGATTGACCGACTTTTTAACTCATTAAACTCAGTTAATAACTGTCTAGTGACTCTACTCTGGGGTTGTATTACTGATTGTAAAAAAAACCCCAAAAACAATAAAAAAAAACAACAAAACAAAAACATCTGAAAATCTTAGCCCTAAAAACTAAAACAATAAATTATGGGGGCCTACTAAATAACTAAAATAATAAAATTAGGCCTAAATAGTAAATAATAAAAATAAAATATGAATTTAATAATTTATTTTATTATTTAATTTAATAATCAAGTCAAGTCCATAGGCTCTAATTGAAAAATTTGAACGTGAAAGTGTTCTTATAATTATTAGGATAATTGTTAATTAGGCAAATTAATATTAATTAGGCCTATATCTGTAGTGGCAGTGTAGAGTCTACCTGTAAGAGTTCACACATGCACAGGGCACAGTCACATTGTCTTATTTCCTTTTCTGATTGGTCCCATTTTCAGGACTGCCTACTTTCATTTTATTTTTTGGATGTTTGACAATATCGATGTTTGATCATAGACTATTCCAAAATTAATTCATTAAGTGTATTACTATTAGGCCTAGTATTGCAGTAATGTCGAATAGTTTAACTTTTATGGTTAGAAATTAGGCTAGCCGGAAAAAGATATGCATGCGCAATGGAGAGAAACTACGACTTTCCATCGGGGCGATGTTTTTGATGGTACTGCGCATGCGTGTGTTTATAACACCAACCCTATCCCTAATCCTATCCCTAACCCTAATCCTATCCCTAATCCTATCCCTAACCCTTATTCTAACCCTAGCCATAGGTCACTGCGCATGCGCAGAGCTATCTTTTGCCGACTAAGTGGAGACGTTGGGGAGAAAAATCTTCAGAGTAGTCACTTCATAGAAATTAGGGTAAAGCGTATAGTAAGACTAGGTCACTGGGTTTGGTGTTGGTTAGGGTTAGCGTTGACATTAGCAAGCCATGTATGTATTTTACTTAGTTAACTACCAGTAAACCAGACACTGAAATAAACCCCTAAACTTTCTTAAGGGGAATTTTTATACCAGTGTCCGATAATAGAATCATCTTTAAAAAAAGGGGTGTTACGTTACGGGTAGTTAACTAAATACATACATTGCTGACTAATGTCAATGCTAACCCTGTCCCTAACCCCAACCCTGGTCCTACCAATACTACCATAAGCCTAACCCTAATTTCTAACCATAAAATTAGTCCAGATTACAACTAACAACCCAACAGACCTATTTTATGATAGTCTATTATCGGACATGGGTATCAAAAAGCATCCCTTTTAGTGCAATGGTACCATAGAAATATTTTTTATTGTTTTTTTTTAATACTTGGGCTACATTTTTATAAAGAATAGAATTGAGTAGGAAAAAAAATTGCGCACCAAATGATTGTAAACAATGTGGGCTTAATTCAGCAGAAAATGAGTAATTCATATAAGAAACTTTTAAAAATATAATTAGACTTAAACAGCTAATTAACTAACATTTTATCTCATATGGCATTGTTATCGAGTCTTGACCTATGTGAAAAGTTTTAAACAAATCAGTCTGGTGTTTTTTAAGAGATTGAAAATGCTGTAAAGTACTACTTCCGGTCACCGGAAATCACTCAACATTTGACAGACTCAAGTGAATAAGATTTTATATTTATGTATAAAATTTTTTTCACCTGAGAAGGCTCTTATGTTATTGTTATTTTAGAATCCAGAAATAAAGTACCACTGTAACTATATAATCATAGCTCTAACCCTTATTTCTAACCATTAAACTAGAAATTACAATATTAGGCCTACTTTAAACCTAACTTACCTATTTTTTGGAAGATTCCATTTTCTGACATTGGTCTGATTGTTGATGTTTAGAAGTCGATATTAGATTTTTTTTAGTTTTCTAGCATTAATAATTATAATCTAATTAAATGGCTATTCCCAGTGTTTTACAATGTTATTATCTTGTATCATAGACAACAGAGATATCAGACATTGCTTCCTAAAAAAAGTTATTCTATATTATATTGCTTACAGATCTCTTGAAAACTATCAAGGTATCTAAAAAAGTTACAGTAATTCTTTGCTGAATAGAGAGAATCACATGAACAGCTAAACAGTAAAAATGGTAAGAGAGTTTCTATTTCTTTTTACACTTCCATTTCAAATAATTGCTTTCATACATTATTAAACATACTGCTTTAAAGCTTTCTGAATTAAATAAAAATATTTAATCAATATAGCAAAATAACGTGTAATTTTGTTTTGTTTATGAAAGCACATGTAATGAATATATATATTTGTAGTTACTACAGTGGAGTTTCTTTTGTCTGTATGGTGTTAAGTTATATGTGTATGTGTTTATGTTGTCCAGGCCTCTGTTACACATGGCCTTTCTTTTTCATATCACGACCTTTAAGATAAGAGGTCAATTCATATGTTGAGCTAAGTCCAACATTTTTAATTTTTGTGTACTTCAAGCATGTTGTGTGCTGATGAAGTCCTAGGGATGATAAATCAGTTGTTCTTGTAATAGTCACTCACTTGTGAGGTTGCTAAATAAAACATGGGGGTATGATAAGAAGACATATTTTTTAAAAAAAAGGAACTACTGAAAATTTGAACCCCTCTCCCCCACATCACCTGGACAAAAAAACCCTCCCCCCTCTTATGCGTAATGTTCACAATATAGACTACCTTTATGGGTCATACTTGTGACCAGTGTACTATCACCAGGTCATTATCAGGGTCGGCGTGGTCGAGTCGGTAAAGCTCATGGTTGCTAAACTGAAAAGTCTCGAGTTCGAACCCTCGGGCAGATGAGGCTCGTTAGCTGGGGACAGCCACTCTTCTAGGAGAGACAACTCCAAAATTAAACAACTGCTGCCTTGTAGTTTGTTCTTGGTTGGACAAAGGCTATGGAAGCAAATCCAAAAAGAAAAGCAGGCTGAAATCGGAGTCAGTGGCCTCAATGGCGCATAACCAGTTGACACATAATGCTTAATTGTGTTAGAAGCGTGGTCGAGTCGGCAAAAAAAAGCTCATGGTTGATAAATTCGAACAAAAGTCTCGAGTTCAAACCCACTGGCAGATAAATCTCGATCCCCTTCAACACTAATAATTAAGAACGAAGAAGAAAGAAGAAGATGTGTAATGTTCACGATATAGACTACCTTTATGGGTCATACTTGTGACCAGTGTACTATCACCAGGTCATTATCAGGTTTGGTGTTACTCTCACTACAGGTGATATTGAGTTCAATAGCTTTGGTATCAGTGTTTTTGTTTCAGTAGATAGTAGACTTACCCCAATGTTTCCCCTTACCCCCAGTTACTTGGTGGCTAGATGTTACTGGTGTTATCAGTGTTTCATCCCACCCCCCAAATAACCCCCATGTTGTCTCCCCGCCCCCTCTCCCAGTCAATGTCTGGCTAGATGTATCAGTGTTTTGTTTCAGTAGATAGTGGATTTACCCCAATGTGCCCCCTTACCCCCAGTTACTGGGTGGCTAGATGTTACTGGTGATATCAGTGTTTCATCCCCCACCCCACTTACACCTATGTTTCCCCCCCCCCCCCCCTCGTCAGTCAATTTCTGGCTAGATGTATCACTGTTTTGTTTCAGTAGATAGTGGACTTACCCCCATGTTCCCTCTTACCCCCAGTTACTATCTGGCTAGATGTTACTGGTGATATTAGTGTTTCATCCCCCACCCCACTTACACCCATGTTTCTCCCCCCCCCCCCCCCTCGTCGGTCTATGTCTGGCTAGATGTATCACTGTTTTGTTTCAGTAGATAGTGGACTTACCCCCATGTTCCCTCTTACCCCCAGTTACTATCTGGCTAGATGTTACTGGTGATATCAGTGTTTCATCCCCCACCCCACTTACACCTATGTTTCCCCCCCCCCCCCCCCCCTCGTCAGTCAATTTCTGGCTAGATGTATCACTGTTTTGTTTCAGTAGATAGTGGACTTACCCCCATGTTCCCTCTTACCCCCAGTTACTATCTGGCTAGATGTTACTGGTGATATTAGTGTTTCATCCCCCACCCCACTTACACCCATGTTTCTCCCCCCCCCCCCCCTCGTCGGTCTATGTCTGGCTAGATGTATCACTGTTTTGTTTCAGCAGATAGCGGACTTACCCCCATGTTCCCTCTTACCCCCAGTTACTATCTGGCTAGATGTTACTGGTGATATTAGTGTTTCACCACCCCACTTACCTGCATGTCATCTTACACTCTCACTTGTGTAACAGAGTTTCACCAACTTGGGGCATAGTTGTACCTCCCTTACCCCCATGTGTCCCCTCCCCCCAGTCACTGTCTATTTAGATGTTACACTCTCACTTGTGATATCAAAGTTTCACCAACTTGGGGCATAGTTGTACCTCCCTTACCCCCATGTGTCCCCCCCCCCCCCCAGTCACTGTCTGTTTAGATGTTACACTCTCACTTGTGATATCAGAGTTTCACCAACTTGGGGCATAGTTGTACCTCCCTTACCCCCATGTGTCCCCTCCCCCCCCCCAGTCACTCTCTGTTTAGATGTTACACTCTCACTTGTGATATCAGAGTTTCACCAACTTGGGGCATAGTTGTACCTCCCTTACCCCATGTGTCCCGCCCCCCCCCCCCCCCCCCCCCCCAGTCACTGTCTGTTTAGATGTTACACTCTCACTTGTGATATCAAAGTTTCACCAGCTGTTAGCTGATAGTGTTATCAGTCATTGACCTGCTTTGGTACAAGCTTAAGTATATCATGATGGTTACTCTAGGATTAGGTGATTGGACGATATAAATAGATTAATTAGTTAAGGGTCAATTTGTATTGAATAATTGAAGACATTTTTTTTTTAGAATCAGTCACCAAGTATGTTTTTATGTATTGTTTATGTGTACCTGATTTACAAGAATGTGTACGTTTTAGTTTTAGGCATGTTAAGATGTGTTGCTAATTTATGTATGTATGTGTTTTAGGGTGTGTTGCTGATGTTTGTATATGTTCTGTGATGAACTGTGACTTGTGGGGTGAATGATTACCTGATTTATGATACATTAAATTTTACACTTTACTGTGACTTTGATTGGTGTATCAGTTGTTTAGTGTGTTTGTTTAATTGGTGTATCATTTGTTTGAATTTAAACTTTGAATAGAATAAACATTGCAGTACACATTGCCAAATTGCATCATGGATAATCTTACAGGAAGTAAATGTGTGTCAGTGTCAGGGGGGGGGGGAGTAGATCCTGATCTAATGTTACCCCATGTAATGCGTTACATATTGACTTGTACTTAACTGTCATTTACACATGGTTGAACTTATTACATGTGTGCAGTGGGACTGGTTGCGCATCATTGAATGTCTAACACTGACACTGTTTTATGTTTCATGATGGTACCCAGTGTTTCTTCCAGACTTTTTTCTCCGGGGGGGGGGGGGGGGGGGGGGGGGGCGGCACTTGAAATTTTCGCGGGGCGGTAGACTTTCTTCGGGGGGGCGGACACTGTTAAAAGTATATATTTTCTATATAAATTATAGAAATTTCATTTCGTTCGGGGGGGCGGTAAAAACCTGTAAACCAAAAGTTAAGATATAAAAAACCTGTATATATTATAAATTTTTATGACGCAAAGCTGCCCCTTAGCTCCCCCTCCTTTCCCATTATCCAATCGTTACATATCCACAACAAAAGTGCGCCCCCTTACACCGAAGTATGTCGGCATTAAAAGACTACCTCAAAGCATGCATGCTTCCCATCTTTGGTATAAAACAGTTTCCCTTCTAAATACAACTACACCAATAGTGAGTTGAACATTTTAAACTGGTGCTGGCTCACAGCCCACAGTGTCGAGTCATTCTTCGGCCCATCGCTACCACAAACAAGATGGTGGCTCAACTACAGGAATAGCGAGTTGAACATCTTATACTGGTGCTGGCTCATAGCCCACAGTGATTGTATTGGACAAGGCTTACGTTTGTGTTGCGTGTCTGTGTCGAGATCAGAACCGGAGGAGTAGTTCACTCTTTGGCCCATCTCTGCCACAAGCAAGATGGTGGCTCAACTACAGGAATAGTGAGTTGAACATCTTATACTGGTGCTTGCTGATAGACCACATTGGACAAGACAAGATTTTGTTGTGTGTCGAGTCATAACCGGCGTTGTTCACTCTTCAGCACATCGCTGCCACAAGCAAGAAAGTGTCTCAACAGAAAGCAGTTCCACCGCCATATTGCGTCTTGCAGGAGGCTCTCGGTTCAGACTATGGAGTTGCTCTCCCTCGTCCAATGCCTAGGTTATGTCAGTTGTTGTCATGAGTCTTCTTCCGGTCTTGTTATAAATAGCCTCCTGTCCAAGGCTTATGGGTATACATGGCGAGTTCTTTAGACTTCAACTGCCCCTGTTCTAATGCCCGTCCACATAAGTTCGGGGAAGGGGGGTTACTACCTTCTAGTTCAGGGGTCTCCAAACTGCGGCCCGCGAAGTCCTCTCATCCGGCCCGCGGAGATCTTTTTGTCCAAGGAAAAATCGTTTGTTGGTGATGGCTGAGAAACTTTGCCCAGAAAAATCACATGTCTGGAAAAACTGGCACCCGAACTAAAATTTAATAGTTAATGCGGCCCTCGGACTGAAAATTTGGAGAACCCTGTTCTAGTTGAAGACTCAAAACCATCTGTTGATGACCTTTCTCATGAGTTCTCGAACATATTTTAGCGATCAAAGCTTTTTATTTAAGAAAGCAAGTTTGTTGTATTTTCTTATTTTCATCGCATTTAAAAGCTTGCTAATACAAAGAATTTTTTATATTTGATTTTTAGTTTCCACTTTTTAGTCATTCGTTGTAAATGACATTGACACTACATAGTCTAAGACTAAACATATTTGCGTTAAAACCTGACAAAAGACAGCCATCTTCAACTAATTGGGTCATGGTCGACGCGCAGACTAGGAATCAACCATCCGTGTCTGTTCAACGTTGTAAACAGACTGACGCTTGAGATTTGTTACTAAATTTAGACGTTTTTAATTTAAAATTTAATGGCTAATTGTCCTTTTAACTAGATTTAAAAAAATGAAATTCACGCATTGTCATTAAAGAAGAAGGTATCTGTAAAGTTTGAACGAAATCAGTGCATTAGAAGTGGGTGAAAATTGAGGTACAAGATTTGTCACAAAAAAAAAAAAACAAACAAACAACAGGCGTTGCTATCTCAGTAAAAGCTTGTAATGAGAGAAAATTGTCTTCTCTTTCTGACATTTTTTAGAGCAGAATACAATTTGACTGCCAACATGATGCGGAGACCCACGAGACCAAAAGAACATTTGCTTTACGGAGATTAAGTATCAGATTGTTATGAGAACGTAGCCAAATGTTGACAGATGAACTGTGAACAACAAACTTGCGACAGGCTACCCGTTTTACTCTGTGTACTGCAGTAGTGTGGCCGGGGTTGAATCGGGAGGGGGCTGAACACGCTTTATTGGGTACATTGATGTTGACGCTTGAATAATAATATATAAACTGCTGTGTATTATTAAAAGGGTTTGGTTGACTTTTATCAATGGATGAGCGAGAAAGTGCTGGAGTGAAATAAATATGTCTTTAGGGGGTCTTGGTGTGGGGGTGTGGTTTAAAATATTTTAAGTTATAGGGCTTCACTTTGGTCAAACGTGATTTGTCCGGCTAAATTAGAACTTGAAATAGTTAGGCTGTCAGGTAGTTTTTTTAGACCAGTTGTCTAGAGAGTGGCGCCCCTTTGAGGCGGACAGCCAGTTTGTGTAGGCACACATAGTCGGGCGATATTAAAAAAAAAACAACAACCGAACATATTATTAAAATCAAGGTAGTGCTGAATTGAAAAGATAGAAAAATGAAGTTGATGATGGGGATATGGCGGTAGTCTTAGATTTTAAGCTCTAGCTAATCCACCGGGTAAGCGGGAAATACCTTGTATGGAAGAATGTTGGTTTTACCTTAATGACGATTTGATGTAAGTATTACTATTACACGCGTCTTTTTAAAGCATTGTCATGTGTCTCTTTACTTTACACTCAAGGGCTGTAGTCTTTGTTTAATTCTTCGATCCTCTTGTTGATGAGAATAGTCCAGCTTATCGTCATGTAGTCCAGCTTATCGTCACGTGACCTGATGTTGACCACGTTAATAGATGTGGTGGACTTAGGGGGTGGGGTGGGGGTGGTTTGACACCTAAGTTTATCTGCGAACAAGATGTTACGTAACCTCGCCTAGACCTGACCTACCCACCTGTACAGAGTGTGCTTTGGTCAGCCGCATCTCCCCATTGTCGTCACAGATAAGCCGACCACTGGATTGGGTAGTGGGCGCCTCTGGTTTATCTGGACACAATAGGCCGTGGTCAGTCGCGAGACGCTCACGTCAATGTTGTGAATAGATAGACGGATACACCACCTGGTCGACGAGAAGATTGTATTGTTTAGCCTCATCCCCTCCCTAACAAGGCGTGGCTTGTTTATTATTTCTTGACACGTGAGCCCCCGAGCTATGGCGGAAGGCGACGATAAAAAGCCGTTCTATTACTGTGTCCCCCGAGTTATGACGGAAGATGACGAAAAGTCGTACTATTACGGGCTCCCCCGAGCTATGTTGGAGGACGATGAAGCGGGCTATTTTTGGGGTCCCACCCGAACCACCCAGGCCGTGACGGAGGAGGAAGAGCAGCTGTACTACGGCGGGGCCCTCATCATCGGCGACTCCCCGCTGTACACCCCCGCCGAGTTCTACATCCGCGCCTTCCTGCCCAGAGACCCGTCCATGGAGAGCGCGCAGGTCGTCGAGTGCCCGACCTGCTTCCACGGCGGGAGCCACAGCCACATTTCCTCAAGGTTCCCAGACCTGGAGCAGACGACCATGTACGACGGCCGGGGCCGACCTAAGATCAGGGTGTCCCAACCCATAGCCATACACAATCCCTTCTCCTACCAGGTTTGAGCAATGTTTACCTATATACCGCCCACGTTGATGGGGAACAACCATCAGCTTTTTCTTCTTTAGGCTGGATAGAATGGTGCTCAGTCTGCCCAATGTTTCTGTTTCTTCTCATTTAGAATTGACTGGAGAATAAGGAGAATATAGGCCTATTCCCAGTTGGCCCAGTATTTCTTTGTTCTTCTTCAGTCTTAGGCCTAATGTTTCAGTGAGATGTGTATATTTCTGTTTGTGTTGTCATTGAGTATGCAGCATTTCAATCTGTGAATATTGATAGTTTTACTTGTTATATGTGGAATTTCTTTGTGTATGCTTTTTAAATGAGTGTATTTCATGGAGTTTGGGTAGTCATTCATGTGATCTGTTTTCTAGCTGTGTATGGATATGAATGGAATTATTCATCTGCTGAAAATGTGGATATTAAGGGTTATTGAGTTTGAAACTGTTTAAATGCATGCCTACAAATAATTTGGTAAAAAAGGTCTAGTTAAAAGAATCAACTACAAATGTGTTATATACTATTGCCATTGTCTTTCATCATTATGAAAATACATACAATGGAAATTGCTTGCATTGTTCTTAAGGTATAGGAGAAGTTAAATTGTAAATAAGCTATAACATTAAATGAAAGTATCTTTTGTTCTATGTTCCAGTCCTTTGTGGACGATCAAGCAGGCACATATGTGGGGTCATTCCCCAAAGGGTTTGGTTATGGACCTGAAGAGACTGACATCGAAGGAGCAGTGAGTCCTGGGGATGAGAAGCCAAGGATTTTGTTGATGGGACTTAGAAGGTGAGTCTTTGTTTACATGCTCTTTGTTGACTTCATATTAAGGGTTAGAATATTATTTTATTGCCGTACCACTGCTAACCCAAGTTTAAATCTGGGTTCAAGTCCATAAACATTCCACCTAGCTCTGATGGGCATAGTACTGACCACACTATCCCATCCCTTCATATGCAGAGGTAACAAAAACAGGTGAACTCTATTTTACTTGCCCCATATTATTTTAGAAGTCTTAGTTTACGCTTTGTTAATGCAACACTTTCTGGTGTTGTTAGTAAAAGAAAGGGTGCTTACAACTTTTTTTTTCCTTTCTTTTTTGTCTGGGCTGTAATAATTTTCCCTTGTTGTTTCAGAAGTGGCAAGTCATCAATACAAAAGGTTGTCTTCCATAAAGTGTCACCCAATGAGACTTTGTTCCTGGAGAGTACCAATAAAATTGTCAAAGATGGTAGGTCACCAGAGGGTTGTTGTATGAACAATTGAGTTATATAATAAGCTAAACTCTGATATTGTAAAAAGATTATTGCTTTGAATTTTAGTAATTAAATGGGTAGTGTTAAAAATTTTCTTTCCCAAACTCATTAAAAAATGACATAGTCTTTCTGAGGAATTATCCACCAGAGTAATACTGCAAATTTATGCTGATAAAATTATTTAAGAAGAGTATAATAATTCTTATGACTGTGTTTTGAAACCATTCATGATGTTTTCCCACTGCAGATATTTCCAATTCATCATTTGTCCAGTTTCAAATCTGGGATATTCCTGGCCAAATTGATTTCTTCGATGCTGCCTTCGACTCTGAATATATCTTTGGTGGATGTGGCGCCCTAATTTTTGTTATTGATGCTCAGGTAAAAAACACACTTTTTAAACAAAAATTGAACTGATTACTCCCCCTAAATGAAATACCAGATTGGTTTCCCCTTAGATGTATGAAAGGAAATATAGTAAAATTTATTAACATAACAAATGTAAAACTAGTAATAGTTGGAGTTTAAAGAAAAAAAGTTAATAAAATGTTAGTATTTTCAAAAGGGAATATTGTTTATTATTTTTAACCACTTATGAGGTATATTTTTAAAGCTAATAACGTCACTTATATTTAGGCTATATTTCTGAAGCTAATAACGTCACTTATATTTAGGCTATATTTTTAATAACGTCACTTATATTTAGGCTATATTTCTAAAGCTAATAACGTCACTTATATTTAGGCTATATTTTTAAAGCTTATAATGTCACTTTAATTTAGGATGACTACATGGAAGCATTATCCAGATTACAGATGGCAGTGACCCGTGCCCATAAAATTAATGAGAATATAAAATTTGAAGTTTTTATCCACAAAGTGGATGGGCTGTCTGATGACAACAAGATAGAAACACAGAGAGACATTCTGCAGAGAGCAACAGATGAGCTAGCAGACGCGGGGATGGATAATATCAGACTGAGGTAGACCCCCACTCTACTGATCTTTCTCCCTAATCCAGGATAACATTATAGTGGTTTTTCTTTTTGCACTAGTTTCCTGGCTGTGGCAGATTAAGATTATAAAGATTTAGGATGATGGTATTGTATATGAGAGCCATGCCTGCGTTTGGTCTCTTGTAAACACATTGGGGCAGCTTGGCAAAGTGGTAGAGCACTCGACTGCTAACCCGTAAGGTTAGGGTTCAGAACCTAGTACATCAGTCCTAAGGATGCCCTTGAGTTTACCCAGCTCTGATGGGTACCTGACTTGGGGAAATTAAGGCAGCTAGGCATAGAACTGATTAAACTATCTTTTCACATGCTGAGATCACAGAAACAGGTGAACTCTACTTCATCTTACTCAACTTTATTGACCGCAAAGTCCGAAAGGGCTGTTACTTTTTTTCTGTAAGCACATTTGACTGACTGATCAACAGCTGATGTTTTGTTCTTCCCAGTTTTCACTTAACCAGCATCTACGACCACTCAATATTTGAAGCCTTCAGCAAGGTTGTGCAGAAGCTGATCCCCCAGCTGGCTGTTCTGGAGAACCTGTTGGACATTGTCATCTCTGTAAGCCTACTATTAAAATTTAAAGCAGATACTTCGGCATAATGCTGCTTTTGTTCTGTCTAAAAAATGTTTTAATTTTAGATTAATTGTTAAATGGATTTGTTACCATTTATATCGCCACCCCACCCCCAAATCTTTCCCAAACAACACACTATAAAAAATTTTTTAAAATTTATTTTGGCATTACATTTTTTTTCAGCTAAGATTTTAAAACTTGTTTTTTCCTGAATGTCTCTACATTTACAAATTGTACTTCTATTTTTTCTTGTAATTATAAGTAAAACCAATATATGTTATATCGAATGGTCGAAATGTCTACTAGTTATTTAAAATATTTATTATTAATTATCAAAAAAATGTTTGGCTTTAATATTAAAATTAGAACTACATTAGATTAAAATACATCACTACATAAAACAAAAACAAATTATTTTGGTAGTTATAAGTAATTTTTAATGATTGCTTATTACAGAACTCAAAAATTGAGAAGGCTTTCCTCTTTGATGTCGTTAGTAAAATTTACATCGCCACAGACAGTTCACCAGTTGATATGCAATGTTACGAATTGTGCTGCGATATGATTGACGTTGTCATAGATATGTCTTGTATATACGGGTATGTTTTGAGGTTCCTGACATTTTTTTTTTTTTTTGAAATTCTAAGGATGTAGTTTTGTGTTGTGTATTTGCTTGTAGATATGTTTTTGTTTGTCCTTATGCGAAGATTTTATAATTTTTTCATCTCAGTTAAAGTAGTTGAGACTGCAATAACTTTTTGATTGGTGTTATTAAAAGTTAACGTAAATTTGCCTGCTTGCATCTTTACTTAAAGACTGTTTTTTTTTATCTATACAGCATCAGATTATACTGTATGAAATAATGCTTATATAGTGTTAGTTTACAATGTTTTTTAGTTATGCAACATTAATGAAATAAGTTGTATAAAGTAGTAAGTAAGATAACATTACATTATTGAAATAGTTTTTGCATTTAAGTTGTATCAAGTAGTAAGATAGCACTACATTGATGAAATATTGAATGCATTTAATTGTTTATAAGTAGTAAAATAACGCTACATTGGCAAATCATTGAATGCATTTAATTGTTTATAAGTAGTAAAATAACACTACATTAATGAAATAATGAATGCATTTAAGTACTGTGTGTGTTTTGCTCCTAGTGTCAGAGACGGTCTGCTTAGTCGGTAATATTAACGTTTTATGGCAACACCCCTACAGTTTTCACCTTGCATCTCTCACGGCTTTAAAAATTACTTCTTTTCATTTAGAATCATAGAAATGATAATTCTGATGGTTTAAAAGCATATGTTTTATACTGTTTCTTATATTTCTTTTGCTTGATGATACCAATTTTTTCTTAAGCTCTGAGCTCTAGGCCTGACTCTTGAAATTTTTTTTTTATTGTGAATGAATGAACATACATCTGAATACACTAAAGTCACTTCAAAAGAAGAAAGGTGTTTTTAGACCCCCTTTATTGTGTTCAAAGATTTGTGTTCTTTGATGTATGCTTGCAACACCCTATGTTTTTTAGATTGAAATTTGGTTTCTTTAATTAAGAAATACTATTCACTGTCTTATTCACTTTATAATTCTTTAATGGATAGTCAAGTTAGTAATCAGAATAATAAATACAACTTAAAATTGTACGCACTGTTTAAGACAGTTCACACGTGACTTAAAGTGCTGTAAAAAACAAGCTGCTATTATTAGTATAAAAATATGCTTTCTAGCATTTATAGAATGTTATAAAAAAAACAACTTGGGTAAATAGAATATAATGGGATTATTAATTAATTATTTTGGGCAAATTGTTTCCTAAAATAGAGCCATGTTTTTCTCTTACCCAACAAATACCTTTTCACTTTGCTTTGATGATTTGCTGTTTCCACTTTTAGTGTCTTGCAACACAAACTGCAGCTCTTTACTGCAGATTGACAGAGCTTGTAGTTTAAAATTTTCCTACAAATCCAGTACTTTCCCCCTTTGAATTGTGGTTACAATATTTTTGTTTTGTTTATGGAATGAAATAGATAGGAAATAATATCTGAAATGATTTAAAAATGTATTTTCAGTAAAATTAATAACTTACTAGAAATAATGTGAAAAATATACATTAAAAAAATATCATGTTAGTACTTTTAGTTTATCTCAATCTTTTTATCAAAATAAGTTAGCTAATATACCGCAAATAACACTTAATTAAAGTATACATAAACAAATGTCACACATTATGGCCCTTTAACTTTAAGCCTAATATCTATTACAGTGCTCGTGATGATGGTGCATTTGACAATGAGTCGGCTTCATTTATCAAACTAAACTCCAGTACAGTGCTGTTTCTTCGGGAGGTCAACCGGCACTTAGCACTCTTATGTATACTCAGAGAGGATGGCTGCGAGAACAGAGGTTACTAATTACATTTTATTTATTAGTTTGTTTCCTTTGGTAAATATCAAACTTATTTGATGAGCTTGTTTTCGTTAACATGCAGGACTAGTCATAATCCTGTTATGTTATGCATAATTTCTGCTTACACTGTGGCTCAAACCTAGTCACAAAAGTCTGAACGTGACCACACTTAAGTATCTCTTCCAGTGTTTCAGGCAATAAAAAAAAATTCTATTTACTTCAGTGGTCTTACATTGGTCTAAAAATTATCACCTTTTTAAATTAGATAGTTAAGATTGAGTTGCGTGTTTTATGAGCTAAGAGTTCTCTTAGTCTCTAAAAAATTATTCACTTCATTAAAGAAGTTCGATAAGCTATTTTTATAGTTTGATTTTCACCTTTTTTGTTCAACTGTCAACAGGTATCATTGAGTACAATTTCAAGTGTTTTCGGGCAGCTATTCAAGAAGTTTTTGTGGCTCGCAATAAACAGGCAAACAAAAGCACTGGCCATCCACAGATGGACCAACTTGTAAATGGACAAACTGACGGCTTGCTGGACTCTTCTTTGGCTGGACAAACAAATGGGATACCTGGAGCTATTGGACATTCGTTATTAAATGGCTCTGTTTTACAGGAGGACTATGATGATTAAGTGAATTCCTAAATCCTTTCAACAAGTGAATGGATGACAATTCTATGAACCTACATTTTAAAATCTCTGTTCTCTGATGATAATAATTTAGAAATGGAACAGTGTGTGCCAAGAGTTCAATAAATCACTCATGAATTGTCACTCTAGAATTTGAAGCCGGAGCTAGAAGAAAGAAATATGCTTTATTAGTACTAGTAGCTTACATAAGCTTCTCTTTATAGCTGCCACTTGTTTTTACCTTACTGAATTTCTTGGTTTAGATGTAACAAAGAGAAAAAAAAATTTACTTTGTTCAGTTTTAATGCTAAAACCTATGTGTTTACCTCTCTCTGTTTACAAATGTTTTTTGACTTAAGTAGTGATTGTCCAGACATAATTTCAGATTACCCAAAGCTATCTCAGATTTTTCCGAGCATGTTTCTTATGCATGTCTTTAAAACATGATATCAAAGAAGACATCACATGGATTTCCTATTGAAGGTTGCTAATTACATTAAAATGGGATAGATTCAATTGTCCAAATATTATGTCCCTTGCATATGATTTTAAAATTTTACTTTATGGTTTTAATTTATTGAATAATAAATTCTGTTGTTATAAGTAACTCTAGCATAAAATGTGCTTTGATAAAGGTCTGTTGGGTTTAAGTCAGATTAGTCACATAATGATTGAATTAATTATTAAGCCTTCTGTGCTGGTTTAATTGTTTGTATAAGAATTAGGTTCACAAATACAAAGGACTCACTGGCATGTGCATTACTTTCTTAGATGAGTTCAACTTTTACATTTTTAAAAGCTCTCTTGTGTGCAAAGCAACAGAATGTTTTTCTTCACCATGTTTTTCATAAACTTAGTCAGCTGAACAGTAAATTCTGCTGATGTTTAATTTATAACTTGTGTTTTGTTTTTAATGCAGAGTGAGTATGCTTGATTTTTGTTTTTTTGTTTTTTCATGTTTGCTCTAGGTTTGTGCCCTATTTTTATCCAGTTTCTTGAAAAAAGTTTGTTTTAAATGTCTTTAAATAAGAAAACATTGGCAGCTTGTAAGATCAAGATGTGATTTATTGAAGTTTGTTTTTTTAATTAAGAGCAATCACTGCATGTTTTATACTAATACAAGGATGAGACCATAAGTACGGTGTTTTAAAAATGGTGAATATTGTGTTGAAGGAGTAAGTTAAGTAGCAAGAAATAACAATTTATATTGTGATTAAGAAAATATGATAAAATATGTTAGAAGTTTTCCTGCCTTTTCAGAAGTTGTTTCCCCTTTTGTACAGATTTTTCTTCACTACCCTAGGACAGGTGTATTAGATACCTGTAGTTAATTTTTAAAATAAACCTTGAAATATTGTTTTAAGAGAATGAATGATTGAATTATTTTTTATGCAAGTGTATCAGATGTTGCAGCTGTAATTTGTGTTTTCTATTTCTTATGACTTTTTAGTGCAATTTTTGACAAGGGCACAAGAAAGATTTAGGGGCTGTTAACTCTTGTCTGCATGTATGTTGTCTTACCTCCCTTGATAATATGTTTGCACATAACCAATGAGTGTTGATAAGATGTATGTGACCTATTTAATGCATGCTGAGCGCTGGCAATTGATGCTTTTAAATTTTTTAATGTTTTCATGAATAATAAATAAAATTTGCATTAATAAAATGTTTAATAAAATTTTATGGTTTGCTTGTATAATCAGAGAAAATGTTAATTTAAAGTTAAAGCTATTCACACATTTGGAATCAGATTTGTATCTAGCACTTCAGGTATATTTCTAGTCTTTCCTGACCGTTTATATCTAGTCATATTTTAGATGGTTGTTTTATTCTTGTAGCTATTTCTTCAATTTCATTCTGTGCAAAAGTGGCTTGTAAACAGCACCGCTCAATACCCAACTTAAATGGTATAGCAAATCGTATCACTATAATCATTTTAACCATCTTACCAATAATCCTATAACTGTAATCATTTAAACCATCGTACCAATAATCCTGTAACTATAATCATTTAAACCATCTTACCAGCCACATATGTTATAGTTTGTTACTGGATGTCTCTGACACACTGGTGTAAAACCTCCAGTACTTTATACTTTTTTTTTTAAAATATTGAAATACCCATTAAGTAGTGAAGCTTTTTTTTTTATACATGTGCAACTAGGGTCACTTATTTACTCCCCCCCTTCTCTACTGGGAAGTAAAAAAACCCTTTACTGGCATACTTCAACACAGAACCCAGCATGCCTTTGCCAAGTTTGTCTAAAGGTCAACCTCACATCCTGATCTTTCACATTGGAAACAATCCAACGCTTGGCATGAAACTAGAGCATTTCCGCAGAATACAATGGCAGCAACTCAACAGGTAGACTGTGCAGGTGTTCCACACAATTGTGTTAAGTGGTTAACTGATCTAAAACTTAAAAGTAAATTTAAAATGTAAGGCCAGGTATTGAATTGAACTACCAAAAATTTCAGTGTTGAGCATACATACTGCACTAAGTAGTAAAGATGTATTATTTTTCTGGTTAAAATAGTATTATCGAAGGTGAGATCCAACACTAGTATGGTGTGTCAACATACTTTGCACCATATGTGGCCCATTTATAATGACCTCTGCCTACCGTTCTATTCAATTTAGTGCTTCCATATCCTTTGTCCACCCAAAATTAATTTGTAAGTCTGTAGTTGTTTAATGTTGTCTTCTCTCCTAGATGGGTTGCTGATGAGCCATCTCTGCCTGGAACGAGTTAGCTATCAAATGCTCTCCCATCCAAACACTGTCCCAGAGGCGCTTAGAAATATAATGACAGAATAGCTTTCCATACCAGACTATTCCCTGGTAGTTGAAAGAAATTGTTTAAATAAGAATAATGTTGCAATATTTATGAGTTTTCTTCACTCTCCTGAGTGACATCTAATTCCCGGAAATACTACCATAAATTAAAAAAAAAAACTATGAATTTTCCTCCTGCAGAAAAGGGGTAGGTATACAAATCTGAGTGTGCATCCAAAAAAAAAGATAACACTGACTACACTATCCCCAATATCTGTGAAACTAAGAACTAGTCCTGCAAATGAGACTGGGGAAAATATTTCAATTTGAGGAATGTCCCATACTTAGGAATTTTAAAAAATATGAAATAATGCTACCAATAGGTAACAGGCACTCAAGCAGTCCATTTATGTGTTAAAATAGTCTGAGCAATGCAGGAAGAATGTTTAAAATGAGACCAACATTTAAACAAAATAAAACAAAAAAACATACATGTTTACATTATTGTCTTTATTAAAAAAATAATAATTTAATAATAAAAACCAAAAAGCATCAAATTTTAAAATTCAGCTTTAAAATTGAATTTCACAGAAATTATGTATCAATAATGATAATGAATTTTGTAATGGGCAGTTAGTGCCAGGCATGACTAGTTGTAAGACTTAAATGTCTATTGTAACAGTCATTTGATGAACCTCATGACACAAGCAAAGAATGGGTTCAAATTCTGGGCCACGCAAGCCCCACCAGCTCCAGTGGTCAGCTTGCCAGGAAAACCCAAACCCAAAGCGTTGCGTTGCTATCCAAAGATATGCTGTGTATCTTTCATCCAATCGGCAAGGCTGTAGTGGTTAACACTACCCAGGACCCGTAGCCACATGAAGATGATCAGTAGCCAGTTCGGCAGGAGAACTGACCTGTTTTTCAACTTTTCGGGAGTGTGACTTTTCATATAGTGTCACGATGTCTCCGAAAGAAAATCCTCAGGGTACCGCGGGCTGTCGAAGTGGATGTGAGGCGACTTCTTGCTGCGAGTTCATCACAGAAATTTTAACCCCTCTCAGCGCGGAGATCTTTGTAGTATATCTCAGTGCCTACAATGCGGCCATCCTTCAGCAGACCTCCCATAGGGAGACAACCTACTTTTTCAAAGCCTGGTATGCTCTGTATAATTTTAATCATGGCGTTGTTGTTGCTAAAGGTGTCACAGTATATTCCCATGAAACCCAAGTCTTTGGCAAATTTTACACAAGTCTGTAAACAAAAAGTTCCAAGTCTGCAGCCTCGCATATTTTGCTTCACGACGATAAACGGATCCGCCACTAGACATCCACGGGAATATTTGCTCAATGCGAGAACAAACGCTGCCACCATGTCCCCGGAATCTTTGTCTATAACAGCAAACTGGAACCCGTCGGTGATGTCTTCAAGGAATTCTTTCTCAGTGGTGTATTCATCAGCACCGAACCCCTGCCCAGTGCTGGCAGCCTCCTGTACTAGCAGGAACATCTCATGGATCTGCGACTCTGTCATGGCATCCACAATGACGCTCCTACCATTGACCAGTGTGGTGCTGTATGGCACCACTGAAGCAGACATCTTGGAGTACTCTTTTAGTAGCATTTCAGAGTAAGTAGGAGCTAATTCAAACCTGAGAAGTAGAAAAATATTTTAAAAATTAAATTCATAAAAATAAGTTATTTTTATTGAAAAACAAAATGGCCACATTTATTACATTAAAAAAAAAACCCATGAAGTAGAACCAATCATATAAAAATAATTCAGTAATGCAACAGCTTTTGTTGGACAAGCGCCAACACAATTAGCTTGTCTGACAATGCTGTGCAATACACCATATTTCAAAGTAAACCGCATATTGGGCATGTGAATCATTCCAACAGAAATCTATCTAGCACATGTTTCTGTTATCTAGTATGCACATGTCCTACTATAGATCTAGATATACTTTATGTGCAATAGGCCTAAACAAGCCCTTGAGTCAAAATCATAAAATAATTAAAGTCAAGCAAAAGAGTAAAAACAGAAGAATCTGGTATTTAAAAAGCGTAATAAAACAATGTCACGGGGTCACCTTTTGACCTATTAACCCCCAACGACATCGGCCCATAACCCTGTCGACTGGGGGCATTACTATTAAAAAAAAAACCAATCTTTTTAACTATTAGACCATGTCAAAAAACTTGATTGCATATTAAAGAATGTGTTGGCCTACATATTCGCCTATCGAAAAAAAAGAAACATAAACAAAACAAAGATAAGCAGTGTCAAGATTTTGAAGTGTAGATTCTGAATAAAAATGTTTTCAATATAATATTATAATTGAATATAATTATTTAGATCGAGATTTAGCCTCCGTTAATTACGAATTTTGTAATTATCAACATTGTTTTTGTTCCATGTCAACAAATGATCAAGTCCCTCGACATGTCTGCTGATACCAATGATTATAAGAATGCAGCATACGTGAAATTACTCTTCCTAAAAAGGTATCTTTTTAAACGGGGTCTGGGCCTAGTGCGGAACACGAGCGGAATAGTGCGAGCAACTTTTTGTTCGGAGCGGAGCAGAGGCGGAGCACAAGCCAAAACATTTTTGCTCCAACTTCTAGGTAAAAACGCAGACATGTTATGTTTACGTTCATCTGTTTAAATCATAGGGGATTTCCGATAATGTGCTCAAGTGATAACTATTTATATTGTTTGTTAATTAATATTAATTATCACAACACCGAAAAGAACCAACTATGAACTCTTTTGAATGCTGCGAATTCAAATAAAAATATAGGGCCTAAATATTTAATTTATTGGAAGGGAAAGGCACAAAATAATAATGGTGGTCATAATTAAATTGAATTGAAGTAATGCTTAATAATTTAATATTAAGCATATTCGTATACTTAACTAGTAAATTATGCAAACCACCAGATAGAATCTATTCTATATCTAAATCTCCGCCTCTCATCTTTACACAACTCTGTTCCTACATTTAGACTGCAGAGCCCACACCCCCTGCTGTGTTTACATTCCGCACGAGACGAGCGCGTGTTGACGTCTGACTTTTTCTTAACCCCTGCTAGATCTAGATATCATTATACTTGTACTATAGGGCGGCTTAGGGTAAAACTAAGAGAACAAAAACAACTTCGTCCACCAAAAAAATTAAAAAAAAATCTAACCGCATGCACAAAGAAAAAGTAAACTTCGTATTTTTAACGCGCATTTAAACGAGAATTGTTAATATCCAAACGTTCTCACATCGATTTTTTAAGCATGCACAGCTCGCGCTGGTATTTTCCAGTTTGGACAACATTCGAAGGCCAGATTGGCTCGGTTAGCCTACGCCTACATTTTTAGTCCCTCAGTGCACAGTCCGTTACATGATGCAGTAACAAGAAGACTATTATTTAGCGCCATGTCTTTTATAATACATTAGGTTGCTTTAACTAAAACAGCTTATAATGATAGATTCTAGATCTAATATAGATCTAGATCTACATCTAGTCTAAAGTTAAAGGAAGTTTGACCTTTTTTTTTATATTGTAGGCCTAAATGTCGGTTAATTATTTAATTTGTGCAAACAAAGGAAATACGACCATATTACTGATATTTCCAAAGTAAAAATTGATTGTCTAACAAATTAAGATTGAAGTTACAGTAACAGATCCCGTCAGATAATGTTTTGATAATAACACATTGCTATTTTTAACTACAATGGTAGGCAGTTGGCTACTTTTCAATTAAGAATTAAATTAACTGTAACAAAAAATTAGACTTACCAAATAATTAACAGCAAATATTCTGTATGTAGATCTAGTCAAGTTTTGGTGTATTCGTAGTTTATAATCTCAGATGAACTTGTAATTTTATAAAATGAAACCAAAACAGCGTCAGTGATTCTATATTCTGCAAAGTACAGTTCGTTTGTGTTCCTCTGCCACGAGAAATCTATTATATACGTTCTCGAACGGCCGTGACAGAGAAAAGGGGAGGAGCTTAGAAGGCAAACCACCAATGAGTCACGGCGCAAAATGGGTCACACGAGATAACACTAACAGGTTTACATTGCCGCTTTGGAGTTAGCTCTACGAATTGTTATATTAAATGTCTCATAGAGGGAAGAAATAACTAATGCTGACCAACAGGACCCTTCTCTTAAAACTCTGAATAATATTGATTGACTTTGTTATAATATAACATTATTTAATTAATTTACAGAATATTTCGTATAGATTACCCGTATTCAATATCAAAGGATTTCGTTTTATATGTTATTTAGATAGATCTTGTGACGTTTTCGATACAAATAAGATTCTATACGAAGCCAAACACAAGTATTTTTGTTAAAATTATAATAAGCAGTTATTTATAATCAGCGCTTAGGGATTGTCCATATAAATAAATTCCATATAACGATACATTTGACGTGGTGGTGGGGTTTTCGAACTCGTGTGACGATATGGAAGGGGGGGGGGTTCAATAATAATATGTTACATTAATTTTGTAAATAAGTTAGAAAAAAATCCGTTAATTATCGTTTATAAGTGGATGGAACGTTGTGACTTCGGTTGTAATGACGAAATGTGACGATAGGGGTAAGTGAGAAAAAAAGGGGATACATGGGGGGGGGTCTAAAATAGAGAAGTTTTGTTGACAACCATTTATTATATATTATTTAGTCGAAGTTGTAAGCTTCCATAAATAAAAATGAAAAAAAAAGAACTCAGTGTAGTAGTCATTTATAGACATACTTGTAGACCCTTTAAGGCAGTTTAAACCAGATCCCTTCCCGGATATTTTAGACCATTATTATTGAAGTAAAATTACATTCCGTTATTCGTACTGTCTATTATTAGTTGTAAAGTCTAAAAGTCGTTAGGTCAAACGTTCAGGAAGTCGTACATAATACCTTGTTTTTGTCATGTTCCTACTTCACTTAATTTTTTGGTGATCACGTGGTTTCAGTCTGAAAGGAGTAGCTTAGCCGAAATGATATACTCCCATTTTTACAAGGTAGTAAATTTATAATCCAAAAGAGATAAGAGAACTGATATAGAATTAAGGTTAACCAAAGTTTAGCAGGTGCATGAAAAAAGTCACGAGTAGCATACTTGCATTTTAATCAATAGTGCTTAGTAAAGTCTGAATTTGATTAGTGTGGTCTGTTTCATTTGAAGTTCAATTCTGTTCAATTAAGCTACAGAAGCAATTGTGTGTTTTTTTACCGTTCATTGCGAGGTAGTACCTGGCAACAAGCGGTTGTAAACATTGCTGACGTTTTACAACGAATACACAAGCGTAATAATTTACCGCGAGCTGGGAAGTCGAAGGTCACGAGACGACGGGTCCCTGCACTAATTTTTTTTTCGGTAATCTTGTGTGTTGGAAGTTAATGACCGGGGAAAATACCTTTCACGAAAAACATGCTTAAAAAGCTTTGATGAAGACAAAACTGAATTACTTCTTACACAGACCGCGACAAACCTTGAATTTTTGGTCAAATATTAGACTACTTGATCTATATTTCCAAAGTAACTCTAGATTGTAATTATTTGAATTTTAAAATATGTTTTTTACGGATTCAACTTTTGGATAAGTAGGTTAAGTTCAACTTTTGGATATACAAATCTATAGGTCATGTACATAATCTGCATAAAAAAATAGTATAATACTTTTTAGTTTATAGTAGTGAAAGTTTGGTACGTCATATATGTTTGCCCTAGATAGTTATACTAGCTCTACTAATATGCAGGCAAGGTTAAGAATGTATTTGTAGAGCTATTTAGTAGGGGAGTGTCACTAACATAATCCATTAAAGACACTTCAGCACTTGCCTCTGAACAGTCACAACACTACCCCTTGCCCAAAACCCATTACATGTATCTCGATCTATGCAAATACCAACGTCTCACTGTACTGGACCAAAACGAGTATGGCCTGTTTGTACTGGGTTGACTTTATAGTAATTACGGCACGATTACTGACCTGAAAAGAGTCAACTAGGTATTATTCAAGCCTATCTAAAACAGTACGTTACCACTGATGCTAATGCACATTGGGCTGACGTATCGTGGGACAAAAAATAATATTTTAGCGTCCGATGAGTTTCAGGCATCTACTCGACTTACTCGAGAGAACCATATCTACGTACTTACCCCCCCCCCCCCCCATCGAACGAAATAGAATTTTAACCTGTATATATAGCCTACGTTACTAGTGTCCACCCCCACCCCTGGAGAGTTTTGTCTTGAGACAAAAGTCTGAAAGAAATACTGCGTCCGATATATTTTATCACATAGGAGTTTACATTTAATTTAAGTGTGCAGTGGCGTAGGCAGGGGGGGGGAAGGGTTAGGGGGGTCATAACCCCCCCCCATCGACCCCTCGGTATATATATATATAAAGTATGAGGGGGGGGTGCAAATCAAAAGTTTGAAGGGGGGGGGGGGGTTGCAAATTGAAAGTTTGAGGGGGGTGCAAATCAAAAGTTTAAGGGGGGGGGGGGTGCAAATCAAAAGTTTTAGGGGGTGGGGTGCAAATCGAAAGTTTGAGGGGGGTGCAAATCGAAAGTTTGAGGGGGGGGGGGGAGTGCAAATCAAAAGTTTGAGGGGGGGGGGCAAATCAAAAGTTTGAGGGGAGGGGGTGCAAATCGAAAGTTTGTCCCCGGGTAAAAATTGGAACCCCCCTTGAGACGATCCTGGCTACGCCACTGTAAGTGTTGGTTTAGTTTTATTTCTCAAACCCTAAACTAGTTGGTATTTTCCGCTCCTAAGATGGAATGGGGTCAAACCTGATATTCCTCTATAGTTGACCCTTTACGGTCACCTGATTTTCTCCTTGACCATTTAGACTTAGAAGCACACATGATAGGAGATTATGTGCTTAGTTAATGTGAATATCGTTTGTATACAAAAGAAGTTTGTAGGGGAAAAAAAAAAACCCAAATTCTCTTTTTTAACCTTCCCCTATTGCTGTTATCAAATATTAAACAAACCGTGCAAAACTTGAACCAAGATTTACCATCCTTCATACGGGGATTAATGTATGTCTCCGCTTCCCAACAGTGACGTCTTAGCAGAGGTCATGCGGTCTACTGACTCAGAGCGGGAAAATCTGACGTAAACCTAACGCACAAGAGAGCAACACTTGCCGAAGGTTGTAGACAGTTCATTCAGCTTTACTGACGTATTAAAAAGTAGGATTGGAAAACAGAATCCGAAATGATGTCAGTCAATACTATGAGTCAAGTGTTATAATGTTGTTGTTTCGTTTTCTATTGTTTTGAAAAGTACACAGCATTTTCTGTTAACCACACCTACTTATTTTAATAACATAGGCCCTACAACGACATTTTACCCTTGAATTCTCATCAGAGGCGTATGCAGGTTTTCGTTGTAGGGGGAGCGAAAAGAGAAAAAAAAGGCGCCGAATTTTTACCACGTTCTATATACGTGTATTATATATATATATATATATATATATATATATATATATATATATATATATATATATATATATATATATATATATATATATATATATATATATATATTATATATATATATATATATATATATATATATATATATATATATATATATATATATATATATATATATTGTTACGACCACCTGGTGTTTAACCTGGGCTGACCCGTATGTTGGGGTAGCGATCTCACGCTCATCCATCAACCTGGCGGTGGTCAGAGGCTGACCAGTGCTGGCCGTGAGAACCTTTGGGCCGTGACGGCCACACCGGATTGGGTACCACGCTGTGGGCGGTGCATACCTGGTGTCTTGGGGGACTCGGCTATTAACGTGGCCAACAGCCCATAAATTACCTGGTGACACCACGGGCTGACCGTTGATGCTTGATCTAGGCTAGTGACGGTCCGTGTTTTACGGCTGGGAAAACCTTCCAGGTCGGAGGGGGCCGAGGGGACCGTCATGGACGGATATGACCTAGGGTCAGGCCTTAATTAAAATCGTTCCCACGGTGTAGGGCGGGGGACGAGTACTTTAGGAGGGTAGACCGGAGACTGGGAAAGACTCACACTCTCGACAGACACTCGGGACACACACACGGAGACGGACGGACGTCTCTGATAGCTAGGTTTAGAGGAGACAAACATGGGTCGTCTATGTGAGCTAGTGGAAAGCCACGACATGTATTAGACTTAGGCTAGGCTTGACAGTTAGGGACAAGTAGGGCAGTCGAATTAAGGACTTTAGTTGTTGTAGTTACTTGTGTATATTTCTGATTGTTGTACTTCGGTGGCGGGTTTAACTTTAAGTGTTGTGATTTGTGGCGAATAAATAGAGATTACTGAAGTTGGCTTTTATTTATTTTTATTTTTCTTCTTCTTGCTTACGATCCCCTGACTAGTTCGAAAGGATTAGAGAAGGGGGTACGTAACAATTGGCGGCTAGAGTCCGGGATAGGACAGACAACGAGTTGAATAGTTTCTTTTGATGCCATTTTCAGTTGGGGGCTCACGAGCTTGTGTTTTAGGTTTAAGTTTTATGAGTAGTGAGAGTAAAGTTTGTTCACGTAATCAGGAGAGTTTTCCAAACATTGAGTAAGTAGCGAGCTTATCACCTTTGTATTGACACTGAGTTTATTTTGCTTGATTTTTATGTTGGTCCAGTAGAGCTGGAATTTTTATTTTTATTCAGTATAGCTGGAGGGATTAATGCCCAGTATACTTGAATGTTTTTTGTGTGGTCCAGTGGAACTGGAGTGTTCGGGTTTATTCAGTACAGCTGGAGGGTCAATTCCCAGGTACGTGAATAAATTCGTAATTTTTGTTTGGTTTGCTCAGTATAGCTGGAGGGTCAATTCCCAGTATACGTGAGTAAATCGTTTGTGATCCAGTGTAGCTGGATATCTTAGTTTGGTTGGCCCAGTATAGCTGGTGTCTACCTGTTCAAGTGTCAAA